CTGTCTCTTCTCCTTCTGGAATTCCTATTGCAATTATTTTTCTTAATTGTGTCCCATTAATTCCAAAGGCTTTCTTTCTTCACTCTTTTTTCATTTTCTTTTTGCTCCTTTGACTCGATACCATCAAAGATCCTATCTTATAGGTCACTGATTCTTTCTTTTGCATGTTTGAGTCTGTTCTTGAAGCTCTCTTGAATTCTTCAGTTTATTTTATTTTTCAGCTCTAGGATTTGTTTATTTTGTTTGTTTGTTTGTTTTCTTTTGGTTTTGGTTTCTGTTTGTTTTGTTCATGCAATGTTTTCCTACTTTTGTTTGGTTGTCTGTGTATTCTTGTAGTACAATAAAGGTCTTTAAAAGAATTGTGCTGAATTCTTTGACAGTTCATAGATCTCAATTTCCTTAGAGTCAGTTATTAGAGATTTATTAGTTTTCTTTGGGGGGTGTCATGTTTACAAAGTGTGTGTGTGTGTGTGTGTGTGTGTGTGTGTGTGTGTGTGTATTTGAGAGACAGAGATCCTTGATTCCTTAGGTTGGTATCTTTGCCTTTGAATAAGTAGTTGCCTCTTCCAGACTGCAGATTTGCTTTGGGAGAGACTGTTCTTCACCAAATTTAGTTTGGGTTTCTGGATGTGTCTGCTGGTAATGTTCTTGGGCAGGTGGGGTCTACTATTAGGGTCTATTTTGGAGCAAGGCAATCATTTGAGCCCTCGGGTCAGTTGTGGGGTGTGCCACTGGTTGAGAACAGCTGAACAGGACCGCTAGCTCGGTCCCTTGTCCAAGTGAGTCAATAGGATGAGCTCCACGGTTGTCTGAGTTCTCAGTCAGGGTACTAGATTCAGTAGCAGGTGGGGCTATGAATTAGCCTCCCCTTTTCTTACAAGACAGCAGGCCAGCACCCAGGGCCGACATGGCTCATTTTGGGGGGACCCAGATTAGGCAAGAGTGCGCACTGAGTGTCCTGGTCAGGTGAGGCCACCACGAGTTTCACCCTGAAGACTGTGCTCTGCTCAAGCGTCAGTGTTGGCAGGGCTGGTAGCTGGGCTGTGCGGCCCCGTGTGCTCCGATGAGTCTTCCTGGGGAGGTGGGCTGACTGGTGTCTTCAGCACTAGGGGCTACAGATTCGTGTCCCTGCCTGGGTGCAGACAGAAGCAGCTCTAAGGCCTCTACGGCTCTTTGTGGTCTTGAGTCAGGCCAACTCGTGCCCTAAATCCCCTAACCAATCGGGGCATTGGCCTTGCTCTGGAGCAGCTGGCTCTGTCCGTCCACCTCTCGGAGCAAGGCTTGCTGGGGTATGCAGCTTCTGGGGTTCTCACCACCCCGTCAGACGGAACCTGGCGCCACCCCATAGCTGGGGGGCCATGGCTCAGCTCTTCTGCCTGGGCATGAGCAGACCAGCTCCGGGGCCACAAAACCCCCCGTGTGAGGGCCCAGAACAGGCAGGCCTGTACCCTGCCGAGGTCTCGGGGCAGACCGCACCACCAGCTGGTCCTGCAAGTAAGCAAAGCACTGGCTGGGGCTACTACTTGGGCTCTGCAGGTAGGAACTTGGTCTGCCGAGATTCGGGTGCTGGTTGTTGGGAGTCCCTATCCCCTTTTCCATCACAGATCCCCAGTGGTCAAACACCACATTCCCCTGCAATCCCTGGGAAAATCAAGAGTAGCGGCTCCCAGGAAATGACCCGCAATTGGGGGAGGGGCTGGATGTCACCCCTGGGCTCCCTTTTCCCTTTGCAGGAACCACAGGCTCGGGGGAGACTTCTTGGTGTGCAGTACCACCAGCATGCGGCCACTCTTACCTCCCAGCACTCTCCCCTCTGTGGTGCTGGGAAGGGGGTGCTTCTGCCTCACCCCACACCCTGGGACTCCCTCAGTGGCATCCTGCCCGTGAGTAGTTGTCTTTCTGCGAGGGGAGCAGTCGGGAACAACCTATGTTGTCGTCTTGCTGTGTTGAGTGGTCGTGGGGACTTTCCATGGGTTTACTTCTCCAATCCTCACAACTACTTTACAATTACCCCCCTTTACAATGTGAACACTGAGCAGAGAATAAAGTGGGAACCCTTGTCCTGTGCCCCGTTTTTAGCCTTCGCTGGACACGCTGTAGCACCCGCCGGAGGCGGCAATCCAGTGGAGCGGTAGACAGAGACAGGAGGAAGGGGGCGCGGGGGCTTCCCAGTGCCTCAGGATACAGGTGACAGCATCGCTCACTTCCCCGTCGCCACCAAAGGGCTGGTGAGACTGGCACCCCGCCCCAAACACCCCCAGCCCAGCCCCACCTCGGCCGCTGGGAGTTCCAGCCTCCCTCGGGGTGAGGGCGGCCCCTCGGTCACTGCCGCAGCAGCCGCCTCCCTGCACCATCCCTGGAGCGTGGGCTCCGGCGCTGAGCTGTAGTGGGGAGCCCCGGCCAAAGGGCTCATTCGGCCCCAGAGCCCGTGGTGCCCTAGAGCCAGGGCCACCCCACCAGACTGCCACCCCAAACGCGTGCAAGTTCCCGCGGCAGTTGAGGGCGGGGCTGTTACTCGCAGAGAACAGAGCTTGGGGAGGCCGTCTATCCCTGCACTAGGGGCGACCCCCAAGCCCACCTGCGAAGGGGAAGATGGGTGCCCGCCCCTTCCTCGTCTCTGCACAGTCTCCAGGAGGAACTGGTACCTGTTACCGTCAAGGGGACACGAGGGGACCCACGGAGGCATGACTTCCGCACCATTTGAACGTTGAGCCACGTGAACATGCAAACGTCTTTTAAAAAAACACTCCTGAGACCGCAGGCTGGGGGTTCAGCACCCAGTCCCGGCACCTCCGCCACGCACTGGCTCCGGACACCCCGGTGTCTCCCTCTCCACTGCCCCGCGCCCCTGCTGAGCGGTTCCACCAGGCCCCTCAGCTCGGGGGCCTCGACCTCCCAGGTGGACTCTGAAGTCCCTGAGGGGGGCGGACAACTCTGGAGTCTTGAAAGTTCCTTTGTAAGCCTTGGCCTGGGGGAGGGGGTCTGCTCACTCAGCTAGAAGCCACCCCCTTCATGGGACCCAGGTCTTTGGACCAAGCTGGCCAGGACTCGTCTGCAAGCGAGGAAGACAGGAGATGCTGACCTAGGGAAGTATGGACCTGGGATCCAATCGTGGGTGACCCTGAGCTAGTCATTGACCCTCTCTGAGCCTAAATTTCCTCACCTATAAGAACACCCAGTTCACAGGTTAAGGGATCACACAAGATAGCATGAGAAGCAGTTGGCACACAGAAAGTGTTCAACAAAGGTTAGCTTCCTCCTCGCCCTGCATCAGACAGGGACACGGACACAGGCGCCTGGGTCAGCGCGCATGCTTGTCTCCAAGGTGGCCTTCTTAGCAAATGCACGAAGCAAGGCCTCTCGGGCTGGTTCTAGCCCTTCTGTGGCTGCAGACCCGACTGTGCTGCACGTAGGCTGTTGAGACCACTGAGTGGGGGGATACCCACCTCATGTGCCTGCTTAGGACTTCGGCGGGGGTCTGCACCCGGCAGGGCAAGGGGCGGGGGGGCGGGGGGAGCGGTGGCGGTCAGCACTTGCCAAGGCTGCGGCAGGGGACAGGATGCTCCAGGGCGCAGGGACGGGTGTGAGGGGCCTGCCCTGCAGGGAACTCGGCTCCTTTCTCCAGGACCCGAGGCACTCAAAGGTCCCTGAACCTTGATTTTCTCGGTCTGCCGTGGTCCCTGGGTCAGTGCCTACGGGGTGCTCTGTGAGGACCGGCTGCTCCCTCCTCTGCTCCTGAACAGACACACTCACTCGGCCACCTGCAGGGACGGGCCAGCAGAGATTTAATTCAGGTGCACACAACAGGGCTGTCACCAGAGGCGGGGACACAGGTGAGTCCGAGCACAGGATCGGCCAAGTCACAGAGGAGCTTTCTGTGTGGACTGAGGACCGAGTGAATGGGGTTGGGGTGGAGAGAGCCAGCTGGACCTGTCTCACTCTGTGACCAAGGTCGTGCTGGGACGGAGGAGAGCTGGTGTGTGTGCATGAGACAAGGGCTCTCAGACCAGAGAAACGGGGGCATTTTCTTCCAACACTGAGCCAGACGTCAGAGCACGCGCTGTGGCCCGGAGCCCGCTGCTGGGGCAGGGAGCCCTCGCCTCCTCGGAACGACTCTCCCGGCTCGGAGGCGGGCAGCCGGGCGGGCACAGGACAGACGGACGGAACAAGAGCCATGGACACACTCGGGGTGAGGAAAGCGAAGTGAGGACCAGAAGCTGGCCGGCGTTCCCTATGGCTTGTCTTCCTGAGTCGTGTGCGTGAGACCTGAGAAGCCAGCGGGGAGGGCTCTGGAGAGCACCCCGGAAAAGCAGAGGGGTGCTCCTGCGGACAGAGGAGAGGCAGGCAACAAGCCTCTGGCAGGGCCCGGGCCCAGTCCTGAGAGAGTTGGAAGGGGAAACGGGGCAGAGGAGGGGAGAAGTCGGAGCCCACGAGGCCGAGGTATCGAGACAGCCTGTCCCAGGGCACGGACCACACACAGCCCTGCAGGGACAAGGACCAACTGGGCCCCAAAGGGAGCCCCGTGGCCTGTGCCATCGTATCCCCTCACGCCTGCCCTTCCTGAGGGTGCCCGTGTCCCCGACGCCCACATGTCAGCTGCACGGTCGCTGCGCGGTCACTGCGGCCTCTCCACCCAGCCCCGCCCCCGCCGTCCCTGCGAGCTGAGTGGGGCCAGCGGCCTGGAGGGGGCAGGAGCATGTTCGTCAGAGGGAATGACGTGCAGGCCCCCCAGGCGCTCGGGCCGCGCGCAGGCTCAGCAGCGATGTACGGCCAGCCTGTTGCTCTCATCCAGGCCCAGCTGCAGGAGGCCAGGGGTGGCTCCGGGCTTGTGCAGTGAGAAGAGACGTCTGGCCACAAGGTGAAGGAAACTGGTCAGCTGAGCCCCAGGGAGGGACCATGTCAGGAAGGGTCAGAACCACACGGGATCCCCTCGGACCCGGGACACGCGTGCTGCAGCCAGGCCAGCCGGCAGCCACACGGGAAGGGGCCGGGCCTGAGCGCTAACTGAAAGGATATAACTTGGGGTCATTCTTGTACTGCTCCAGCCACCTCCAGTTGGCCTCGACCATGCCCTGCAAGCTGGCGCTGCCCCCCTCGGGCATGTGGGAGTGGGGGCGCTGCAGGAGGCGGAGCTGCTCTCTGGGAAGGAGGGACAGCGGGGAGGGGAGGAGGCAGGGGGAGGGGAGGGGACGTTGATACAGGGACCAAAGGCCATCGCCCCCACCTTCCCCCAGCACAGCAGCTTCTGGGGTCACAGCAATTCACAGCTCCTCCCCTGGCAGGGCCCCGCGAGCCCCCTCCCCGGGGAAGACCCGACCCCAAGGCGCCCACGTCCACGCTCTGGCCAGTCCATCGGCAGAAGCTCCCCCACTGCCAGCTCAAACCAGTACGGGGTGAGGGTCCTTACGGCTGGGGGCCTGTGGTGGGGTGCACTTGGCAAAGAGCAAGAAGAGTGAGAAATACGGGCTTGAATAACCGCCCGTCTGTGCTCCCCAACCCGGTGCCTCTGGCTCCAGATGTTGCCCAGCAGGATGGGGGCGGGAGGGGGGCCAGGAGCTGGACAGCAGAGACCAGGCCACACTCCAGGCCGCGGGCCGCGGGGCCGCATGCGGTCGGCCAGGGGTTGTGTTCACCCTGTGGGTGCCACAGGGCAGTCTCCTGCGGAGCTGGGCGCCCCGGGGGCTTTCCTCTGGTCGTGTGTGGAGCGCCTCGGGCCCGGGAGCGTTGTGGTCTGGGGCTGCCTGCCTCTCTGGGCTTCGGATGGTGAGCCCCCCCTCAGAGGCCCCGCCAGCCCGGGAGGTGCAGGGACACCGACCGGAGCCTCACCTGGCAGACACGTAGCCCAGCCTGCTCGCGCCGGGGCCGGGGCCGGGGCCGCCGCTGAGGACCGGAGCTCCAGCTGGAGAGGGAGGGAGCGCTCAGGATGGGCGTGGGCCCCGAGCCAGGCCTGTGCCCCCGCTGAAGGCAGGGCCCCCCACGCACACAGGGGCCCTCTCAGTGGCTGGAAGTGAGCGCAGGTGACAGACAGGATTGGCCCTATCCGTGTCATTTCCAAAACCTGACGGGCTTCTCAGTTTGGGATGAAGGTGGAGCTGTAGCTGCTCCCCTGCTGCTCCTGGGCTCTGCAGTCCCCCCAGGATGCTGGACCAGGGAGCCGCCTGCAGGGGCCAGGCGGTGCTGCTCCCACTGGGTGCCCTGACCCTAACCCTGACCCTGCCCCGCCAGTTCCCCGTCTGCGCCTGGGGACAAGGAGTCACTGTCCCAGAGGCTTCTAAGGCCTGAATGGGAACTTGACAGAAGCTGCCTGGCCTCTGGCCTCCAGGGTGCTGCGCGGAGGCAGTGATGGTGGGCACGATGCCCGCGGAGTCCCCAGGCCCATGCCCAGCTCACCCGCCCCGCAGCCTGCAGGGCACAGTCACCCATCAGAGAACCCAGGCCAGGGGCGGGGAGGAGGGCGGCGGATGAAGGGAGGACAGGAAGAGGGCCGAGGGAAGGCCAGCCCAATGAGCCCCGGGCCGGAGGAAACTCGCCTGGGAAATACTTGAGCCACTTCTCCCGCAGGAAGTCGTCCACCGTCTGAGCCGCCGGCGAGGAGGAGAGCCCGGGGCCCAGCCCCGGGGCCCAGGCCCAGCGGGAGGCCGAGGCCAGGGAGGGGTGGGAGGGACCGGGAGCCCTCTGGAAGGAGGGGGGCGGGCCCAGTGTGGGGGTGGAGGTGAGGGGCGGGGAGGGCAGGCCCCCGAGCACGCCCAGGACGCTGCTGAGCTGGCTGCTGACCTGATGCAGGGCGTGGCTCAGGTACTGGATCCTGCCCGGGAGGGCGGGGCTCGCAGCCGGGCTGACTGGGAGGGAGGAGCAGGTGCGGAGCAGGACTCAGGCCCCTCCTGCTCCTCCAGACCACAGCCCCTGGGGCCCTGGGCCTTGACTGGGGGCGCGGAGGGCAGGGCCCCTGCGTCCCAGCAGGCACAGGACGCTGCCTCAGAGCCCAGGCCCTGGGGAGGAGCGGGCCTCTGCTGTGCGGCCCGCAGGCGGGACACTGCTCCCAGGGGTGGCGAGCAGGACTCACTGGCAGGGACTCTGCCCCTTCAGAGGGCTGTGGCTGTGGGCTGCCAGAGCCAGGCTCCTCCCTCCGTGGAACGGGCCCTCCCCCCGCCTGCGTCCCTGTGGTCACACTCACAGTGAGGCAGGGGGAAGGACTCGGAACTCCCACTGAGAGTGTCCTCTGTGTCGCTGAGGTCGAAGGTCACCACTTTCTTGGCGGGAGCTTCTCTCATGATGTCCCCATCAGAAGCCTCGAGGGCAGAAGCAGCAGTTAGTGTTCCCTCCCTCACCTCCGCCCGTGGGCCCGGAGCTCCTCGCGTGGGCCCGTCGGGACTCAAGTTCTGGGAGAGGCACCCCCAGGCTGCACCACCTGACCCAGGGGTAGGGCCACCAGGACCCTCTCCCTGCAGCCTCTGCACCTGCTCCCGCCCGCCAGGCCGCAGGCACCCCGGGAAAGTCTGCAGGGCCAGAAGTCTCGCAGGTGTCCACTCCCTGGGAACACCTGTCCCCGGTGGCAGGCAGGGGAGGGACAGGGCCGGAGCTTCCCTCCAGCAGGGCTCCGGGCCTCCCAGAACCCTCAGCACAGAGAAGCAGAGCTGAAGCCGCCGCCGCCGCCTCCCCCGGCCGGGGTCCCTGAGCCCCGAGGCCCCGCGCCCTCAGCCGGGGCCCGAAGAGCCCCCGCCTCCTGGGCACAGAGGGCAGCAGGGCCACCTGGGCTGTGCCACGGGCCGCACCTCGTCCTGGAGGGAGGCCTCCAGCTGGCCCAGCTTCTCCTCCTTCTCCTGCAGCAAGTCCCGGCCCTTCTCCACGGCCGACTTCATCTCGTCCAGGCGCCGGGTCTCCTGCCCAGGGAGGGGAACGTGGCAGCCCCACGCAGCGTCTGCCATGCAGGCGGGGCTCCGTGGAGCTGACTTAGCTCTCGGTCTAGATCCCCCGAGAGAGGCGGTTTCCACGGGTCGTGAGAACGACAGGGACGGCGCGTCCGTGCGCAGCGCCGCGCCCACACCTCGTGAACACGCAGTGTGACTGCTGACCAGTGGTCGTCCTCACTGCGTCCCCGCCCCTCGTCAGGGGCACCCACGTCACGGCCGGTGGGCACGCACACCCCGGGAGGCCTCCGCTCTGCCAACCTCTTGCCCCTGCTGCCCCGCCAGGCGCAGGGGCGACAGTGCCCGCTCTCCCGGCTGAGCGCCACCAGATTCCCAGGGACTGAGTCAGACCTGCCAGGACCCTCAGCTGACAGTGACCACGAAGGCCCTGGCTTTTCATTTCAAATTAGGAACTCAAAGCACCACAGAGAAGTAACTCAGTCTGACGCCGACTCTACACTCGAAAGATTCCGTCGTGAGCGAAGCCGCCGTGTGATGCGAGAACCAGCAAGGACTGGACGTGAAATTCCGAAAACCCCCCTTGCACCGGTCACCTAGACACGGGCAACACTACCGCCGTGCACGCCTGCGGTTGCTGTGAGGACCTGGGACGTACTCGAGAGCACTCGCGTACTGTGCCTGCCTTGCACCCTCCAGGAGACAGACAGCCCCGTCCCGTCCTGTTAGCCCAGGGTGGTCCCCAGGATGGCCCGCTGAGGGCCAGCCCGACCCCTGACCTCCTCCAGGTCCTTTCGCACGTCTTCCAGGGCCTCCGGGGCCCCGGCCAGCTCGCGACACCAGCGCTGCTGGGCGACCTTCAGCACCGTCCGGCGCCTGCGCATGGAGCGTGTCTGCCGCACCAGGAACGCCTTGGCACTGCGGAGCGCTGCCCCCTCCGCGGAGAGGTAGTGCCGGAAGCTGGGGAGGTTTGCAGAGGGCCCACTAAGGTCCGAGCCCCTGCTCTGGGCCCAGCGCGGGGCGTGCTGCACTCAGTGCCCAGCCCGACACTGAAAGGCCCCGGACACACTCAGCCCGGGGTCAGCGGACACCAGCATGCTGTGCCAGCGCCGATCCCTGCCCCCCCAAGCCCCACTGGGGACTGCTGTCACCTCACTTCAGCTCGCCCAGCGCTGTGGCACAGCCCCTCACCCTCCCGGCACCTCTACCCAGAAGGAGGCGGCCGGCAGAGCTCACCTGTGCAGGGACGAGTCAGCCTCCGCCTTGCTCTCGGGGAGAGGACAGGGCCCCTCTGCGGTCTGGGTCTGAGGACACATGGGGGGGAGACCCACTGCTGCAGCACAGCAGACAGACTGCAGGCCCACGGCCCTACTCCCCCCACCCCCCCAGGCCTAGACACAGGCTCTGCCACACTGGGCACCCCCACTCCAGAGCACCTGACTGGAAACGGAGGCTGGAGCGGCAAGAACAGGAGCTGAAGGCCCTGCACGGAGCAGAGCCCGCACCGCCTGGTGCCCTCCCCCTCCGGGGCCACCCTCCCAGGGGCCAGCCCGGCCACCCCCCCTCCTAGGCAGAGGAGCTGAAGGCCCTGCACCTGCCTGGTGCCCTCCCCCTCCGGGGCCACCCTCCCAGGGGCCACCCGGCCATCCTGCCCCCTCCTAGGCAGAGGAGCTGAAGGCCCTGAACCCGCCTGGTGCCCTCCCCCTCCGGGGCCCACCCTCCCAGGGGCCAGCCCGGCCATCCTGCCCCCTCCTAGGCAGCGGAGCTGAAGGCCCTGCACGGAGCAGAGCCGGCTCCCGCCTGGTGCCCTCCCCCTCCGGGGCCACCCTCCCAGGGGCCAGCCCGGCCATCCTGCCCCCTCCTAGGCAGAGGAGCTGAAGGCCCTGCACCCGCCTGGTGCCCTCCCCCTCCGGGGCCACCCTCCCAGGGGCCAGCCCGGCCACCCCCTCCTAGGCAGCGGAGCTCACGGGCACAGGCGATGTCCTCAGGTCCTCGATGTGCAGGTCAGGCTGGAAGCAGGAGGCACCGCCCTCCTCAGCCGCCTGCTCCTTCAAGGTGGCTCTCGTCCTCTGAGCCTCGGCCTCCAGGTCACTGTGGGCAGGAGGCCGGGGAGGGAGACGGTCATGTGACGAGGCAGGCCAGGCGCACACTGCCAGGACCCCGGGGCGGCCTCGAGCCCCCACCTTGGATAGACAGCAAGTCCGTCTCCACCCCTTCGTCCCATCCAAGTCCCTGAGGCAGCCTCCGGACAGAGCCACGAAGGGGCCGAGGAGCCAGGGCCCGAGGGCGGAGGGCGCGAGGCAGAGGGTTCTGGCGCAGGCGGCACCCACCGGACGTGTTTCTGCATTCTCTCCATCTGCGCCCGCAGCAGGTCCACCTGGGACTCCAGCTCCGCCTTGCGGGCCTGGAGCTCCCCGAGAACTCTCCGGAGCTGCCGGTTTGACTCCAGCAGGCGGCTGTGCTCCTCCTTTGCCTCCTCCAAGTGCCGCTGGGTCGCTGTGACTTCCTGGACGGAAGACAAGACAGCGCCTGGAGGAAGCGTGGGGGGAGGGGGGGGCAGGGAGCAGGGAGCCTGAGCACAGGGACCCTGGGCCAGAGGGGGTGCTCCGGCCCCCAGCACAGCTCCCTGAGCTGGCTCCCACACAGGGGTCCCGCGTGGAGTGACCCCAAGCCCAGGAGAGATCGAGTGAACAGGAGGCGGGTGTGGGGGTAGAGGAACGGACAGCCAGAGGGAGGCCCCGAGAGGCGGGCAGCCCCCCTCCGGCACCGCCGCCTCCTCAGGACAAGGACTGCTGCTCCCCGGGCAGTGCCCCCAGGAGGGGGTGGAACGGCCCTCGGCCATCTCCAGGCCCTGGTCCAAGGGGCAGGAAGGCCTGTCCCCTGGGGGAGCCGTGGCTGCAGGGTCAAGGGCACCGGGATGCCGGCCCCCACCCCCGCCCCTCACTTGAACGTCCAGCTGAGCCAATCTGGCCTTGACGTCTCTGACTCGGGTTTCCAGCTCCACCTCCAAATCCTGCAGCTTCCTCTCCTGCGGAGCGAAGGTAGAGACCAGTGGGAAGAGTGCGAGGCGTCAGCTGGGCGGGTGTCCCCACCACCACAGCACACCCCAGAATGGGCTGGTGCCCCCTCCCACTAGCCCGCGGCCGCCTGCAAAGCACCACACCTGGCGGCTCAGTCCCCGGGGACGGGGGGGGGGGGGGGGGGGGGGGGGGCAGAGGAGCCAACCTAGGGGGACCGACCTCCTCTTCTAATCTGGGGATGTCCCCTGGCCCAGAGAACAAAGGAGCAGCCGGGTCCCCGCTTGGAATCAGCAGGGAGACCCCACTGCAGAAGCGGCCGGCGCCACCCTGCTGCCCTGCAGCCCACGCGCCCCACCTGCGCCCGGCGCCGTCCTGCTGCCCTGCCGCCCACACGCCCCACCTGCGCCCGGCGCCGTCCTGCTGCCCTGCCGCCCACACGCCCCACCTGCGCCCGGCGCCGTCCTGCTGCCCTGCCGCCCACACGCCCCACCTGCGCCCGGTGCCGAAGCCCCAGGGCCTCCAGCTGCCGGCCCTGCTCCCGCCTCATGGCCTCCAGCTCTCGCTCGTGAGCCCCGCGCAGCCGCTCCAGCTCTCCGGTCAGGTGCTCCAGCAGCCCGGCGCGCTGCTTCCTCTCCTGCGCAGAGGGGCTGCCATGGAGCCTCAGTGCCCACCCGCGCCCAGAGTGAGACCCGGGACCCACCGCTCGCTCCCCGGAGCCAGCTCTCAGAGGAGAGACAGGACGGCATGGTCCGAGGGGAGAGCAAACCCCTGCGGGCCTCCCTGCTCGGCCCCTGGGCTGCGCGCCTCCTGAAGGAAGGAGCCGCTGGTCAGTTCACGACTCAGCAGGGAGGCGGCCACACGCGTGGCCCTGGGGAGGGCTGCAGAGTGGACGCGGGAGCAGCTGCAGCTGAGTCAGCCGCCCCACTGTTCGCCCAGCAGACAGCGGAGCTTTCCCCCAGGGCCAGGGCGGCGGACGGGCTCTTGCAGGGACTGGGCGTCCAGGAGCCCTGTCGGCCATGCGGCACGGTGCTCGGAGGTTAGGCCTGGAAGCCCTGGGCTCGGGCTCGGCTCGCACCCTAGCTCCTCGCCTGTTGGGCACAGGACCTGAGAGCTGCTTCCACCCCCGAGTCTCAACCTCACTTTCCAACGGGGATGATGACAACGCGCACGTCCTGCTGCGAGGGCGGAGTCACCGCTCAGAGCGCAGGGCGGTGCCTGGCACAAGTTCATGGCAGCATTACCAGGAGAGGAGAGAGCAGCTGCCCCAGGGACGGCATCGCTGCTCACCCAACGCTTCGGACGGACAATGACTTCCCTGTCGCAAGGGCCAGGGAACAAAGCCCCCCGCTAACCAGGGCCGTGGTTTCCCCCTTCCCCGGCCCTGGCCGGCTGGAAGGGCCCAGGCCGGCACGAGTGTGCCTGCAGGGCTCTGGCCTCACCTCGGCTTCATAGAGCTCCCTGGCCTCGGCCACCACGCGCCGGTGCTCCTCCCTCATCGCGTCCATCCTCCGCCCGTGCTCCCTCTCCACCTCCTGCCGCTTCTCTGTCAGGAGGCCGGTGAGCTGCTGGGCAGGCAGACGACACGGGATGAAGCGCTCGCAGGTCCCAGGCCCACGCACACGACGCACACATCACAGGTACGGGACGGGTGTGCACAGGGCCACGCCTCGGCACCCTCCCGCGTGCAGGTGGCCTCAGGGGACTGGGGAAGAGGGCTGGACCATCGGAGCACCCGACAGCCGCAGCTCGTGCGCAGGGCAGCCCCCACCTCCTGCTTGAACTGCAGCGCCTGGCAAGCGCCCAGCTGTGCCCTCCACTCCTGCGGCGGGGTCTCCTGCTTCTGCCCGGCGTCCTCCAGCTTCTGGAGGCTGCGGACCACCTGAGGAGGGCCCGCAGCGGGGACTCAGAGCACTGCGGGGTGGCCGGAGGACTCACGTCCCAGGGCCTGTGGGGAGAGGGGCTGGGGTCTTCTGAGCCCCCCGCAGGCCAGGCCGCAGCACCTACCTCTGTGCTCTGGGCCCCCAGGGAGGGCGAGAGCGACTCCAGCTCCACCCCGCGCTCCCGCTCCCGCTCCAGCGCTGCCGCGGCCTGGGGGCGACACAGGGCCGGGAGGGGTGTGGGCAGCGGCTGGCCAGGCCCTGCCCTAGATGAAGGAGCAGCCAGGAAAACCATGCCCAGGCCCCCGATGAGGGGCCAAGGGCGGTGAACGGGAACATGAGGGCCAGAGTGGGGCCACCGGGCCATCCCCTGCCCCTGGGCGGCCCCCCTGCCAGCACTCAGCACAGCGCCCGCCCCGCCTCAGCCCTCCCGTCGGGGGACAGGAGGAGGCACAGCGGAGAAACTCCAAGGGTGCAGCTTCCCCTCGGGAGGGAGGGGAGAAAAGGACGTGACAGGCGGGACGTGTCCCTCAGGGACAAGGCACATTCGTCTCGGGACCTCTGGTCTGGTCTGCGTCCTCTCAGTCATGAAATCTTCCCAAATCCACAGGCATCTCCCCTCAAATGCCTTCACGGCCACTGACAACACCCACCTACCAGAGGCCCAGCCGGGCGCCTCTGGACCCCTGGTGTCCCCCCACCCCGCCCCCCGCTGCCATGGGAGCCAGGCCCAGCGCCTGCCGAGACAGGCTGGGTCCACATGGAACAACGGCCCACGGCCTCTGCACCCATCTGTGCAGACCCCCACTCTGCCTGGTTCCCCACCCGCACCCCCGGCTGGCTCCCCTCCCCCCCTGCACCCCCAGGCTAGCTCCCCTCTGCACCCGCACCCCCAGGCTGGCTCCCCTCCCCACCCGTACCCCCAGGCTGGCTCCCCTCCCCCCCTGCACCCCCAGGCTGGCTCCCCTCCCCACCCGCACCCCCAGGCTGGCTCCCCTCCCCACCCGCACCCCCAGGCTGGCTCCCTTCCCCCCTGCACCCCCAGGCTGGCTCCCTCTGCACCTGCACCCCCCAGGCTGGCTCCCCTCCCCCCTGCACCCCCAGGCTGGCTCCCTCTGCACCCGCACCCCCAGGCTGGCTCCCCTCCCCCCTGCACCCCCAGGCTGGCTCCTTCTGCACCCAGTCCCTCCCCAGGCAGCAGGGACGCGGCAGAGGACGGCCTCGACTCCCTCGCTCACCTCCTCCCTCTCCCGGTCCAGCTGCTCCCTCAGCTGCTGCAGGGCCCTCTCCTTCTGGGCGCTCAGGGCCGCCCGCTGGCTCCGCTCCAGCGCCTCCATCTCTCCTCGGAGCTGCTCCAGCGCGAGCTGGCTTCGCTGTTCCAGGCTGGCCCTCTCGGCCTCCTGCAGGGCCTCCAGCTCCTCTCTCAGCCTCTGCAGGGAGGCCCTGTGCTCGGCCCTGGGCACAGAGAGGGGAGGGGACAGGCCTGTGCACCCCGCCGCACCGTGGGGCTGGGCCGCTCGCAGCGGGCACTCACCTGATGCGCTCCTCCTCTGCCTCTGTGCTGGATCGGACTTGGGCCCGGAGCCGGGCCAGCCTCCGGCTCTCCTCCTCTCTCATCCGAGTGCCCTCCTCCTCCGTGGCTCTCTGTAGCTGCTCCTTCAGGAGGCTGGGAGGGAAAGGCCAGGCAAGTCGTTGGAGGGTCGCAGGTCTTCCTGTCACAGTCACAACCACTGGCTCTCGGCCTCAGAAGCCTGCAGCTGCCTGTGAGGCTTCTAAAACCCAGAAGGTGAGCCCAACAGCCTCTGGTCCTGCTGCCTCCCTGTGGCGCCTCAGGGTCGAGGGCCATGAACTCCGCCTGCCCTTCGCCCAGGAGGCAGACTGCAGGCTGCCTCATCGCAGGCTCACCTTGCGTGGCGATCGCACAAGGACACAGTCCGCCCCCGCCCGACTGGTCCCACCGCTCCCTCTCCGCCAGATTCTGTTCTGCCCGCACAGGTGAGCCCCACCCGGTCCCTCCGCACGCGGCCTCCTGGCCCCTGGGTGTGCCTAGGACCCCTTTTCTGCCTGGCGAACCACTCAGCATCCAGTACATGCTCTGTCCTCAGAGAGGTCTGTCTGCCTCCCCCCAAGTCACCACGCTGCCCTCACGTTACACGGGAACCTTCCTGTGCCGGCCACTCTGTGCCGTGCACCGCGCTGCATCAGAATTCACCCTTGTGAGTCTGTTTTCCGTCCAAGTCCAGGAGCTTCTCCAGAGAGAGAATCTTGTCTTAAAATGGGCCACGATCCCAAGCACCAGGCACAGTGATCGGCATGACGTAGGTGCTCAACCGCTTCTGCTGAATTTGAGCAGTATCGCCTACCCCAACAACAGGGTGGCCCACGAGTCACTTTACCATTCACAAATCTAACAACTTTTTTAACACTGATTTCTTCCTTTTTGAAATGTTATTATTTTTTAGAGAGGACGGGAGAGAGAGAAACATGGATATGAGAGAGAAACATCCATCGGCTGCCTCCTGCACGCCCCCTACTGGGGATCAAGCCTGCAACCCAGGCATGTGCCCTGACCGGGATCGAACCGGGACCTCTCAGTCCCTGGGACGACAGTCCATCCATGAGCCACACGGGCCAGGCAGCACTCATTTCTTTTTAATTTTTGTTTTAGATTTTGAAAATCTGTTGCCTAGAAATTCATTGTGGAAAAATTCACAATGGAGCAACGCGTAATGATCATTGTATTTTATTTCAAAAATCAGTGCTGCGCCCTGGCCGGTTTGGCTCAGCGGTTAGAGCGTCCGCCTGCGGTCCTGAGAGGCCCGGGTTCGGTTCCCGCTAAGGGCATGTACCTCGGTTGCAGTTTGTCCCCGGCCCTGGTTGGTCGTGCGGGTGGCAGCCACTCGATGTGTCCCTTTCACATCGATGTTTCCCTCTCTCTCTCTTCCTCTCTCTCCCTCCCACTCTGTCTGTACAAAAAATGGAAAAATGTCCTCGGATGAGGATTAAAAAGAAAAAAAAAAAAATCAGTGCTGCATTGTTCTCCCCCAGAGAGCACACGCTATTGCCATGTCAGGAATCCACAAAACCACGGTGTGCCACGGGGTCAGCGTACCCAGTGCCAGGGTCTGCCCGAGGTGTGCCGCACGCTGCGCAACCTCCCTCAGGACGGTGGCAGGAAAACACGGGGCCTGCGCAGGGGAAGCGGGAGCCCGCTCCAGGGTTCTGGAAGGTCCTCCCAGGCTTGGAGTCACACGGGCTGATCTGCAGTGTGTGCAGTCCAGGTCACACATGCACCAGGCCAGGTGCCACTGCGCACAAATCAGAGCCCAGGACTGTCCAGCAGCCTAAGGACAACATTCGGGAAGAAACACAAGCGCTGGACCCAGACACGTTAGGAGCCATAATGAAAAACGCTGTGGAAAGAGCCCACACTTGCGAAGGAAAAATGGAGCCCAATTTATGGGACATCATTTTTTCAGACGTCATTTTAAAAATTCCCATTTCACCCTGGCCGGTTTGGCTCAGCAGTTACAGCATCAGCCTGCGGTCCAGAGAGGCCCGGGTTCGGTTCCCACTATGGGCACGTGCCTCGGTTGCAGTTTGTGGGCGGCCCCCGTTGGGGTTGTGTGGGTGGCAACCAGTCGATGTGTCTCTCTCACACTGATGTTTCTCTCTTTCTTCCTCCCACTCCCTCCCACTCTCCCTCCCACTCTATCTGAAGATGAATGCAAAAATGTCCTCGGGTGAGGATAAAAAATATATATATATTTTGCCCTAGCCGGTTTGGCTCAGTGGTTAGAGTGTTGGCCGGCACATTGAAAGGTCATGGGTTCAATTCTAGTCAAGGGCACGTACCTGGGCTATAGGTTCGATCCTCGTCCCTGGTCAAGGTCGTGCAGGAGGCAACCCGTAGATGTGAAGGAGACACATCGATGTTTCTCTCTCTCCCGGCCCCCACCCTTCCCTTCTACTCTAAAAATCAGTGGAAAATATCCTCGGGTGAAAATGAACAAAAAAATGAAAATCCCCATTTTCTGTACTTTGTATTATAAACAAATAAATAGAAAAAAATTAAACAAAAAAACATATTCAATTTTTAAATGGTAAAGCGACTTATGGGCCACCCTGGACAAGTTTTGATTGTGTATGAGAGACTCTGCTTCACAGACCAGCAACGGTCACCGCTGCGTCCCAAGCAGACATCCCCGAGTACACAGACCACACCCTCCCCACAGCCCCCGCCAGGACTGTGGGCTGCACACGGATTCCTGAGAAGCTTCTGCAATGAACTCCAAGGTGAAAACTTTAAGATGCCTTTCTATTTCAAGTTATCAGCACCACTGGTTGCTTTCTTCCATTATGATGGAAAACTTGAGCTAAGTGAAAATCCCTCCCCTGGGTTCCCCAGAAACCCCCTCGGTCCTTGGCTTGGCCAAGCTGGGTGCACAGCGCCACGTGATGTTAGAGCTGGAAGGGTCACTAGAGGTTAAGTCCTTCAATTCACAGCTAACGAAACGAAGGGTCAGCCTGCCTGCCTGCCTGCTCATTCAAGATGATCTGCGTTATGAAATAGTCACGGGATGTGAAGCACAGCATAGAGAATACAGTCAATAACACTACCCAGCAGGTGTGGCTCAGGGGCTGAGCGTCGACCCTGCACCAAGAGGTCGCCGGCTCGATTCCCAGTCAGGGCACATGCCCAGGTTGGGGGCCGATCCCCAGTGGGGGGCCTGCAGGAGGCGGCCAGTCCATGGTCCATGTTCTCTCTCATCGATGTTTCTGTCTCTCTCTCCCTCTCCCTTCCTCTCTGTATAATCAAGAAAGGAAAAAGAAAAAAAAAGTTTAAAAATAATAACATCCTAACAACTGTGGACGGCGCCCACGGGTGCTGGAAAGATCAGTGCGTGGTTGTCCAGCAGTGCGCTGTGCACCTGGACCAATACAGCCTAGTATTGAGTGTAAACTGTTTTTTTATTTAAAAAAGATTAATAAAAATTTGCTGTAAGGCTTCCAGAAATTTCGACCAGGTGGAAGTTTCCCGGCAGAGAGAGGCCCCGCCCCTCAGGAAGGCTCGTGTGTGAACAGAAACAGGTGCTCAGGATGGACTAGTTCAGAGCCCGGTGAGGCACCGCCCAGCCAAGACCTCGACACTGACTCCACTGGAAACCGAGAACAAGACCCCCGTGTGTGGCCCTGAGTCGGACACTTTGGCGTACTAGTCTTCACCGCAACCCGGGGGTCTCCCGGACACCCCTCCCTGGAAAGCACAGTCAGTCCGGGAGAGCCGGGGGGGGAGCGCTGCAGGGCCCCCTGGCACTGCCCTCTGGCGAGCTGAGCCCACTGTGTGGAAGAGGAGGATGCCGTGGGCAGATCCGCTCTGTGGGGTGCTCCGTGGGGGGTCCAGGAGGGTGGCGTAGGGATGGACCCTGGGTCAGGGGGTCCGGTAGGGTGGCGTAGGGATGGACCCTGGGTCAGGGGGTCCAGGAGGGTGGCGTAGGGATGAACCCTGGGTCAGGGGGTCCGGTAGGGTGGCGTAGGGATGGACCCTGGGTCAGGGGGTCCAGGAGGGTGGCGTAGGGATGGACCCTGGGTCAGGGGGTCCAGGAGGGTGGCGTAGGGATGGACCCTGGGTCAGGGGGTCCAGGAGGGTGGCGTAGGGATGGACCCTGGGTCAGGGGGTCCGGTAGGGTGGCGTAGGGATGGACCCTGGGTCAGGGGGTCCAGGAGGGTGGTGTAGGGATGGACCCTGGGTCAGTGGGTCCAGGAGGGTGGTGTAGGGATGGACCCTGGGTCAGGGGGTCCAGGAGGGTGGTGTAGGGATGGACCCTGGGTCAGGGGGTCCGGTAGGGTGGCGTAGGGATGGACCCTGGGTCAGGGGGTCCAGGAGGGTGGCGTAGGGATGGACCCTGGGTCAGAGGGTCCAGGAGGGTGGCGTAGGGATGGACCCTGGGTCAGGGGGTCCAGGAGGGTGGTGTAGGGATGGACCCTGGGTCGGTGGGTCCCGTAGGGTGCCGTAGGGATGGACCCTGGGTCAGGGGGTCCAGTGCTGGCTAATGAGAGAGACGGTCCCCAGCGTCCGGATACTGAGGGGCTGGTTTCTGTTTGCTTCTCTAAGTAAAACACAAATGTTTCACAGGCTCTTTGTTGCCTGTGACATAACAAAACAAGTCTCCACCACTTTGGATGTCAGTCCAAGAGGGTAAAATTTAGCTAAATTGCCAAATAAGTGAGTCATACGAACACCTTCCTGTGGCACTTTCCCATCGGGCCTGAGACAGACTGCTGACTACCTTCCCGCTATCCCCCTCCTGTTCCCTGAGAGCCCTGCCGCCATTCCATGGGGGGGGGGCAGCTGCAGGACCTCACTTCCCAGCCTCCTGGGCAGCAGGGGCAACGAGAGTTCAGTGGGGAAGCACCGGGTCGTTTCCGGGAAACTCCCTTAACGGGACAGGCGCTCGAAGGTGCCCCCTTCCCCTGGCCCGTCCCTCCTGCCTGCAGCAGACACAACGGCTGCAGCTGCAGCAGCGACAGTGCTGAGAAGAGCCCGAGAGCGAACAGCTCTGAGGAGGGGACATGGCAGTCAGGGCCTGGGGCCGGGCCGGTGCCGGCACTGCCGCTCACAGGAGCCCTCTCCTCGTCTGCACAGACACGACACGGGCCAGCGGGGCTCCCCCGTCCTGTCCGTCGAGGGCCCCACCCAGCCGAGACAGAAACGTCTGGGCCCGGCCCCGCGGGGCGCTGCGCCCAGGAAACAGGGCACGCGGTCGTGAGGAGACGCCTCGGCCCGAGCCACGCCAGCTCTGCTGCTGCCCAGCCCCACACCCGGGCGGCGGACCGGACCTTCGGGCCTCGATTCCCCACCTGCACCACAGAGTCTACAAAATGGGCCGACAACACCTCCCAAGAGCGGCCCAGCCCCACCCGGGCGGCGGACCGGACCTTCGGGCCTCGATTTCCCCACCTGCACCACAGAGTCTACAAAATGGGCCGACAACACCTCCCAAGAGCGGCCCAGCCCCACCCGGGCGGCGGACCGGACCTTCGGGCCTCGATTTCCCCACCTGCACCGCAGAGTCTACAAAATGGGCCGACAACACCTCCCAAGAGCGGCCCAGCCCCACCCGGGCGGCGGACCGGACCTTCGGGCCTCCATTCCCCACCTGCACCACAGAGTCTACAAGATGGGCCGACAACACCTCCCAGGAGCGGCCCAGCCCCACACCCGGGCGGACCGGACCTTCGGGCCTCGATTCCCCACCTGCACCACAGAGTCTGCAAGATGGGCTGACAACACCTCCCGAGAGCGGCCCAGCCCCACACCCGGGCGGACCGGACCTTCGGGCCTCGATTTCCCCACCCGCACCACAGAGTCTACAAAATGGGCCGACAACACCTCCCAAGAGCGGCCCAGCCCCACACCCAGACGGCGGACCGGACCTTCGGGCCTCGATTTCCCCACCTGTACCACAGAGTCTACAAAATGGGCCGACAACACCTCCCAAGAGCGGCCCAGCCCCACACCCGGGCGGCGGACCGGACCTTCGGGCCTCGATTTCCCCACCTGCACCACAGAGTCTACAAGATGGGCTGACAACACCTCCCGAGAGCGGCCCAGCCCCACACCCGGGCGGACCGGACCTTCGGGCCTCGATTTCCCCACCTGCACCACAGAGTCTACAAGATGGGCTGACAACACCTCCCAAGAGCGGCCCAGCCCCACACCCGGGCGGCGGACCGGACCTTCGGGCCTCGATTCCCCACCTGCACCACAGAGTCTACAAGATGGGCTGACAACACCTCCCAAGAGCGGCCCAGCCCCACACCCGGGCGGCGGACCGGACCTTCGGGCCTCGATTTCCCCATCTGCACCACAGAGTCTGCAAAATGGGCTGACAACACCTCCCAAGAGCGGCCCAGCCCCACACCCGGGCGGCGGACCGGACCTTCGGGCCTCGATTTCCCCACCTGCACCACAGAGTCTACAAAATGGGCCGACAACACCTCCCAAGAGCGGCCCAGCCCCACACCCGGGCGGACCGGACCTTCGGGCCTCGATTTCCCCACCTGCACCACAGAGTCTACAAAATGGGCCGACAACACCTCCCAGGAGCGGCCCAGCCCCACCCGGGCGGCGGACCGGACCTTCGGGCCTCGATTTCCCCACCTGCACCACAGAGTCTACAAAATGGGCCGACAACACCTCCCAGGAGCGGCCCAGCCCCACCCGGGCGGCGGACCGGACCTTCGGGCCTCGATCTCCCCGCCTGCACCACAGAGTCTACAAAATGGGCCGACAACTCCTCCCAAGAGCGGCCCAGCCCCACACCCGGGCGGCGGACCGGACCTTCGGGCCTCGATTCCCCACCTGCACCACAGAGTCTACAAGATGGGCCGACAACACCTCCCAGGAGCGGCCCAGCCCCACACCCGGGCGGACCGGACCTTCGGGCCTCGATCTCCCCACCTGCACCGCAGAGTCTACAAAATGGGCTGACAACACCTCCCAAGAGCGGCTCAGAAGACTGAACAAATCCACACACATGAAGCACGCGGATCCGTCGATCTCTCGAACAATGTTAGCTCCTCCCATTGTGATCCCGCCTCCCAGCTCCCTACCGAAAAGAGGGGTCAGGAGCCTAGGCGAGGGAGCCCATTTCTCCACACAGGCCACAAGGAGAGTCTTGGGGACACGGCCCCAGGGGACCCCAGGGCGGGAGGACTGTGTCCCTGGGAGGCCCATGCAGCATGTCTGGGGGGAGGGGCAGGACCTCAGAGACTGGTCCTTCTGCTGGTGAAGCTGCAGGACCTCGGCCTCCTCCTCCTGCCGCAGCTTCTCCCGCAGCTGCTGCATCTCCTCGCTCTTCAGCTCCAGGAGCTGCCTCTTGTCGTGCTCCAGTTCCCGGGCCACGGCCTCTTCCGCGGCCTCCCGGGCGGCCTCTGACAGCTGCTTTGGGGGGGCCACACCCTCTGGAGATGGCCTGGCAAGAGTGGGAAACAGCATTTCACAAGTTTAAGAGCCACCCACCCACCTTCTGGCGTCAATGTCCCCGCAGGGCCCCCCAGCAGCACCTGCTGTACCAGACGAGAGCCTGAGGACCGCAGCCCACGGCCAGGCCTGGCTGACTGCCGAGGCCCAAGGCCCAAGGCCCGAGGCCCGAGGCCCGAGGCCGAGAGCTGGCAGCAGCAGCAGGGAGAAAGGGAAGCTGTCCCTCGGGGCCTTCCCCAGTGAGGCCCAAGGCCCTGTCTGTCTCCGCCAGGGCTCTGCCGGCTACCTGAGGTCAGACCAGCAGCTGGCCAGTCCCCAGAGGCTGCTCTTGGCCTCTTACACTGAACAGAGGCCAGTGTGCATGAGCCAGGGAACAGCGTCACTCGGAGCCTCAGACCTGCAGCAGGCCAGGAGGTCCGGAGGGAGCCCCGCACCACACCGTGGGGAGCCAGGCAGGATGCCCCCGAGCCAGGGGAAGGGCTTGAGCACAGCAGGCGGCTTCTGTGATGACAGGTGAAAGGAATTCAGAGCTAACTGGATGTATAAGGCGGTGTCAGATAAGGACTAAGGGTGTCAATTACAAAGACCTTTGCTTGTACTCTGGTTCTTGAAAGAAACACCCAAAGAGAAACCCCAAGAACATCTAGAACAAGGGAAGAGCAGGCGGAATCAAGTGCTCAGCCTCCCAGGCGGGGCTCCTGACAGCCAGCACTCTGCACCCCAAGCCCTCAGCCGTCCTCCAACGCTCCGGCCTCTCGATGCACCTCCTCCCGGCGCCCAGGCTGCGGCGGCCTGGCTGGGGGCCCAGTCAGGAGCACTGGAGCAAAAGTGGGCCAGCGGGGAGGCGGTGCCCCGCTGGGCCCAGAGCCCTCGCCCTCCAGCTCCCCAGCCGGCAGATGGAAGCGCGGGTCAGATTAGAACGGCAGGCGAACACAAGGCCTTTGGAGTAATTCTATTTCGGCCCCTTGAGACCAGACAGAAGGAGACACAAGAGGCCAGTGCGGGCTCTGAAATACCATTACAGTCCTTCCTCCCCCACTCCTCCACTCCCCCCGCCCCGCCCCCCAGCTTCCTCCCAGCCCCACCCCCTGCTGCTCTCCCCTGCTCTCCGCCTCATCAACCCTCCAACTCATTTCCAGCCTGGGCTGCAAACCCCTCCTCTGCCCTGAGAGGGCTCCTTCGGGAGCATCTCCCCCCCCCCCCCCCCCCCCCACCCCCCACCCCCCGTGGGCTGTGCAGCTGTGTGGGTCCCGAGGGACAGATGCTGCGAAAGACGAGGCCTCGGAAGCGTGGCGGCTCGTGCCAGGCTACACGCACCGCTGAGCTGGCCGCACGCCTGGCAAGCAGGCAAACTGGCCTACTTCTCGGCGCGCCTGTCTCCATGCCCTGGTTTTGAAGCTCGGACATCTTGCACCCCACTCAGATCCGAGGCGATCCGCAGAAAGGCCGAGGGCGGGAGGCCAAGACCCCAGGGGAAGCAGGTCTGGCCATCGGTAAGAGGCCAAACAGGCTCTGCGGGACCACAGCCGGTTCAGGTGGAGACCGGAAGGACAGCACGGGGCGGGCGGTCAGGGAGGGGCATGGCACCCATTCTGAAGCGGCCGCACACCACTGACCCTGGGATTGCGATCGGGCACTGTGGGTCCCTCACGTTCAGGCCAGGGGTTCAGTCCACGTGTCCCGTGTCTTGACCACACCGGGGAGACGTGGCACGGTACAGGGACGGCTCTCCCTGCTCCCAGACCAGGCCTCGGCCACAAGGCGCCGGGGCGGTGCCCGCTGGCCCGCCCACCCCTGTCCTGCCCTTGGCACCCCGCTCCCCGTTCAGCCTGACATCTAGGAACAGTGACGGGCTCTGAATCGTGGTTTCTTCTTTTCTATGTTTTATGAAGTGTTTACATTCTTAAAAACCTTGCTCGTCAAAGAGACTGCTGATTCTTACAGAGAGCAAAGGGAACCGTCTGTCCCGTGCAGACCAGCCGACCCCGAGCCCGTGCCCGCCGTCTCCTCACCTAGATCTCGGCAGGCCAGTGTTTCCCTGCCTGAAATTACCCAGGGCCAGGCAAAGGCAACTAGAGACCCCTAGGACCCCAAATCCACAGAATCATCCACGCCACCCAGTCCTACACTTAGGGTACTTACCCTGCCTCATCCAGTCCTTCCCACGAAGGCCCAGTAAAGGTCTGGACCTTGCTCCCCGTCCTGGCCGCCCGCCTCCTGCCCAGCCTGCCCCCCCCCCCCCCCCGGCGGCTCTGGGCCACATGAGCCCTCTCCCCTCTGCGAGCGCTAGCCTCTCACGCTGCCCGTCACCTCCGTCCCCTGACCCCAGGTACACAGGAGACAGCTACGCCCCACAACCCAGGAACAGGTCCATCCTTTCCTCCTGGAGCCGTGAAGGTTCAGGACCAGGAAGCTTCGGGAAGGAACGTAGGACGTTCCCTAAGGGTGCTGGGTGAACTGGTGAGGGAAGGTGTCCCTGAGACCCAGCTCAGGCAGCGCCACTGGGACGGGAGACACGCAGGTGCCCAGCTCCTCCGCCCAGAGGGTCCTCCCGAGCCACACCCCTCCTGGCGTCCACAGCCACCGGGGAGGCCGGGAGCCCTGTCAGCCCTCGGGCCCTCGGCTGTCCCGCTGGCTCTGGGCACTGAGCACGGCCCCTCCCCGCAGCGCCTGCAGCGCCATGGCCACGGCGGGGGAGGGGGGGCGCGTGGGTCTCGCCAGCGCTTAGCAACTCCTCCTGGAAGCAACCGGTGGATGAAGGTATCAGCTCAACATCAGCCCCAACTCCTGCGCTGACGCCTCCCACTGCTCGGTCCACAGGGGGCGCTGCGTGACCTGGGCACCTGTGTCCCAGGCGCAGAACAGGCAGGGGCTGCGCTCAGAGTCAGACGCCTACGGCTCCAGTGGCCGGTCTAGTCCTAACCGCAGCTGACGGCCGTGCCCTGGGCAGACCCCTCGGCTCGGGACCTGGTCTGCGCCTGTGCCCTGTGCCGGGCGAGGGCGAGGTGGGCGGGCAGAGGCGCTCAGCGCGCCCTGGGCCGCGGAAGCTCCCGCAGCCACCAGACGACCCTCAGGACACCAGCGAACTCCACCTGCGTGAAGCTGGAGATGGGGACCAACCCACAGGGCAGCGGCCGGAGCTGAGGTGGGCGGAGCGCTCTCCGTCTGACCTGGGCAGTGGGTACATGGGGTGCACATGTGCAAGCATTCACTGCCTGTACAGTTCAGACCGGCGTACTTTCGTGTATACTACTATCTCCACAAAACCTTTTTTAGTTTTCCCTTGACCAGGCTTTTGTCCCCCAATTGCAGCCGAAAGAGAAAACTTCCCGTAAAGGGAAGCACACGACTGACCAGGTTTCGTCTAATGACCAGGAGGTACCGCTCACTTCCACCCTTGTACCCCAGTCCTGAACAAGGAGCCCGAGGGACCAGTGATGGCTGCTTGGAGGTCTCCACTCGCACGCCCCTCAGCCCACCCTGCTGGGCCAGAGCACCGCCCCCCACCACCCGCAGGGAACACAGCCATGCACACCGGGAGGACAGACAGACACGCTGGGACTGGGCTTACCCATGGGGCGTGACGGTAAGGGGGGCGCTGACCAGCACCTTCCCCTCGGGCTCCTCGGGCCCCTCGGGCTCCTCGGCCTGGGGGCTCTGCTCCTTGTCCCTCCAGCAGGCGGCAGGCGGGCTGGGGACCTCGGCCCTGGAGGGCGAGAGAGGCCGCGTGTTGAAGCGGCAGCGCGGAGGTGCCGCTCGGCGTCCAGAGCTGTGGCGGGACAGGCAGGCGGCATAAGCTCCCCCTCGGGGTACAGAGCTCACTCTGCTCTCCCTGCCTCCCCGAGCTGTTCAGTGAGAACACAGGCCCCGCGCGGGAGGCAGGGTGGTGGTGGGACCGAGGAGAAGGTCTACACACAGCAGGTGTCCCACAGATGCTGCCGCCTGACCACTGATGTGCCCAGCTGCCCCCAGGGACTCGCTGCAGCTGGGTGAGCACTAGGGCAGACGGAACCAGCTCCAGGCTCTGGACCAGGCCAGGCCCAAAGGTCCACTCAGCTGGCCTCCCTCCCCCAGCACGCAGCGGGGCTCTCCAGGGGTTTGCTGAGCACCAGAGGGGGTGTCTGCTGGTGGGAGGGGCTGATGAGTGGAGACTGGGAGAAACAGCCCCAGGCAGGACCCCGTACCAGCAGCCTCCGGCCCAGCCCCGGCCTAGCCCCCGCCAGGGAGGCAGATGGGTCAGGGGAGACCCTGCCTTGTTCAGAGTTCCTAAGCTCCTCCAATCAGACCCTGTCCCCCAACTTCAGCTGTAGACGGAAAGCCCAGAAGAGGCCAAGTTCCTCTTCCTCCAGCTCCTGTGGACACTCCACAGACCCCCCCTACACTGCTGCGCCGGCTGCGAACCCACCCCAGCCCCCACTTCCCAGGCCACCAGGCCGCCGCGTGTCTCAGCCCCTCACAACCGCACACAGGGCAGGGCCCACCATCCCCCCAGGCCCCGTCACTCTCACCTCTGCAGGGAGCCATGCAGGATGCGGCGGTCTGGGTCTGCGGAGGCCTCCCCGGGCTCCTCCGCCCCACTCCACGCAGGCTGCCCCTCCCGCGCCTGCAGAGGCCCTTTGCCGGTGGTCTGGCTGGGAAAGGGGCCCCCGAGCCGCGCCCCATGTGAGAGTGAAGATGACCTGGTCAGACCAGCCAGAGCAGAGTCAGGCTCATTTAGGGAACAGGAAGAGAATCGGGGAGGGTGGTGTGTGGACTGTGGTCCATTCCTCCTCCAGGCTGGACCCGGCCCCGGCCCACATTCACGGAGGCACGGAGGGCAGAGCAGCCAGAAGCGCAAGAAGGGGAGACCCCAACTGAGCACGTGCTCGGCCTGGGCTAGACAGCATCCCAGCCCCTGTGCCGCGGGCGCTGGCCCAAGTGAGCTGGACACTCCCGGGGCACCCACCCCAGAGCCCAGCAGCACTGGCCCAAGTGAGCTGGACACTCCCGGTGCACCCACCCCAGAGCCCAGCAGCGCTGGCCCAAGTGAGCTGGACACTCCCGGGGCACCCACCCCAGAGCCCAGCAGCGCTGGCCCAAGTGAGCTGGACACTCCCGGGGCACCCACCCCAGAGCCCAGCAGCGCTGGCCCGAGTGAGCTGGACACTCCCGGGGCACCCACCCCAGAGCCCAGCAGCGCTGGCCCGAGTGAGCTGGACACTCCCGGTGCACCCACCCCAGAGCCCAGCAGCACTGGCCCGAGTGAGCTGGACACTCCCGGTGCACCCACCCCAGAGCCCAGCAGCACTGGCCCGAGTGAGCTGGACACTCCCGGGGCACCCACCCCAGAGCCCAGCAGCGCTGGCCCAAGTGAGCTGGACACTCCCGGGGCACCCACCCCAGAGCCCAGCAGCGCTGGCCCGAGTGAGCTGGACACTCCCGGTGCACCCACCCCAGAGCCCAGCAGCACTGGCCCGAGTGAGCTGGACACTCCCGGTGCACCCACCCAGAGCACCACTGGGGCCAGGGAGGGATGGAAGAGCCCAGCAGAAACTAGGGAGAAAAAGGGAAGTCAGACTCAAGTGGTCAAACTATAGAAACTGTATGAGCTGTGGATTTAAGGAAGAATTCTGACAGCTTTTCAAGGTCCAAAAAGTAGAATGACTGCTCCCCCCCCCCCCCCCGGGGTGGCAGCCCTTCTCTATGGGGCTCAGGCCCGGGGAGCTGGAAGCCCCTCCCACACGCACAGTCAGCCACAGCTGTTCTGATGGCCGGCCAGGGCCCAGCGCCGGCAGCAGAAACGCCCTCTAGCGTGACTCCCGGGACTGCTGGCTGCTGCCCCAGCGCCGGCCCGACCAGGGCAGCGATCAGGACGCCCTGGCCCACAGTGGTGCCATGTGCACGGAGTCCCACCCCACAGCCTCCACACTCCTGTCCTGGCGCAGAGCCAGGGGCTGCTCACTCACTCACCCACACACACACTCATAACACACACAACACTCACACTCACACATATACTCACACACACCCATAACACACACTCATAACACACACACTCACACTCTCATAACACACTCATAACACACACACTCACTCATAACACACACAACACTCACCCACACACACTCACCCACTCACCCACACACACACTCATAACACACCCAACACTCACACTCACACATATACTCACACACACTCATCACACACTCACACATACACTCACACTCACACACACTCAACACACTCATAACACTCACCCACACTCACACACACACTCATAACACACACACTCATAACACTCACCCACTCATGCATATACTCACACACCCTCATAACACACTCACATACACTCACACACTCATAACACACACACTCACACTCTCATAACACACTCATAACACACATAACACACACTCATAACACACTCACTCATAACACACACTCAAAACACTCACCCACACACTCATCCACTCACCCACACACACACTCATAACACTCACCCACTCATGCATACTCACACACCCACTCATAACACACTCACACACTCACACACACTCATAACACACACATTCACTCTCATAACACACTCAACACACACTCATAACACACACACTCACTCATAACACACACTCACAACACTCACCCACACATACTCACCCACTCACCCACACACACACTCATAACACACACAGCACTCACCCACACTCACACTCACACATATACTCACACACTCATCACACACTCACACATACACTCACTCATACACACTCAACACACTCATAACACTCACCCACACTCACACACACTCATAACACTCACCCACACTCACACACCCACTCATAACACACTCACACTCACACTCATAACACACACCCGCACTCACATACACTCACACTTACTCATACTCATAACACATGCACTCACATATACTCACACCCACTCGCACACCCACTCATATACACTCACACTCAACACACATTCACACATACACTCACACCCACACTCATTCATACACATAACACACACTCATACACACAGATACACACAGACTCTCACACACAATCATACACTCACACAGACACACTCACACACAGACTCTCACACACACTCATACACACACACACACACACACACACTGCAAGCCCATCCGGTCAGTTCACCAGGCGCCTTCAGGCAGGCCCACTCTGAGCCCCGCAGACCACATACCCAGGCACCCTGCCCGAGCCCACGTCCCCGGGGGCCCTGAGGGCAGCCCCCACACGCACCTCTCGGAGCCCCGGGTCTGCTCGCTCTGCAGCTCATCCTGGCTGGACTGGCCGTCGTCCCTGTCTTCTCCCTCCGCCCTCGGGGCCTGCAGGCAGGGAGCGGAAGGTGCCAGGTGCAGGTCTGTGCGGGCTCCTCAGCCCTCCCGCTGGCCCGGGCCTCGGAGACAGCACTGAGAGGGGCCCTGGGGGGAGGAGGGCCCGCCCCAGGCCCCCAGGGCGGCCTTGCTGGCTTGGGAGGCCGAGTCGGGCACCGGCCACAGCAGCAGCAGAAGCAGCGGCAGCGGGAAACACACAGGAAAAAGGAGATCCTGCCCCTGCAGCCAGAAGCCCCTGCAGCCAGCTGGACAGGGAGAGAGATCCCCGAGCACCCCGTGTCCACAGAGGCTCCGCCCTCCGGGGCCAGTGACAGGCAAGGATGCTGAAACCACGTGCAAGGGCATGAGGAGCAAGGTGCTGGGGAGACACGAGACGGCGCTGCGCTCCGGGCACAAAGGGCGCCGGCAGACCCCTGCGGGAGCCAGGGAGCACCCCTTTGCTCCATTCTGCGCTCCCCCCGACCCCGTGGTCGACGCCCTTTCTAGTGAAGGGTCATACCATCTATCCAAAAAACCCCAACATATCTCACTTTATATATATATATATTTTTTTATCCTCACCCAAGGACACTTTTTGCATTTATCCTCGGATAGAGCAGGAGGGAGGGAGGAAGAGAGAAACATCGATGTGAGAGACACATCGACTGGTTGCCACCCACACAACCCAACCAGGGCCGGGGACAAACTGCAACCGAGGTGCATGCCCTTAGCGGGAACTGAACCCGGTCTCTCTGGTCTGCAGACCAACACTCTAATCACTAAGCCAAACCGGCCAGGGCCATATCTCACTTTATATTATTTTATTTTTTAAATCCTCACCAAGAATCTTTTTTTTCCATTGATTTTTAGAGAGAGTGGAAGGAAGGAAGGGAGAGAGAGAGAGACATCGATATGAGAGAGACACATCCACTGGTTGCCTCCAGCAGGGCCGGGGATGGAACCTGCAACCCAGGTACGTGTCCTTGACTGGGAATCGAACCTGCGACTCTTTGGTGCTGATGCTCCAACTGCTGAGCCAAACCAGCCAGGGCAACAATCTCACTTTAAAGCCTGAGCGTCTGGGCAAATTTGGTGAAGAAAACCATTCTCGGGGAGTCAAGGACTCTCCTCGGGGAGGGGCTCAGGAGGACAGCAGGAGAGGCCGCCAGGCGCCACCCTCTGCCCACACTGCGAGGGCCCCACGGGACTGTGCATCACCTGGCTCCTGCCCACAGCCGACGCCAGTGTGGGCCCCCGCGCACCCCTTCCCCAAACACGCACACACGCACACACGCGTGCACAGGCGCACACGCAGGAGCAGCCTCGCCAGTGGCAGCCCCGTTCCAGCGCTGACAGGAGCCGTCTGTCCCAGGACACTGCAAGCAGGAGTGGTGGCAGGGGACAAGTCACTCCGTCTTCCCCAGGGGTCCCCCGCCCTGGGCCCACAGGCTCCCACCCCCTCCGCTGGCAGCCCACACCCTGCAGCTTGGCCGACTCTGCCCTCTGATGGGCAAAGATGGGCAGGGCCTGAACTAAGAGCCAGCTCCCCACATCACACTGGAGACAGAAGTGCGGCCTGGGTGCCTCCCGGTGCCCGCAGCCTGGCGCGGCGGGCAGACCACGGCGCCAGTCCTCCGCCCCGCCCTCCCGCCAGTGTCCACCTCACCGCCTGTCTCCCCTACGGATCCCACGTCAGGAAATAGCTCCCTCGCCTTTCTCAGGAGAACACACAGGCCGGCTCCTGACCCACGGGGAGGCAGGCGGTGGGTGAGAGGCGGTGGCCCCGATGAATGCTGGGAGATTGAGCGGCGAGTCAGAGGAACTAGCTGCAGACACTGCTGCCCCCTTGCTTCAAGTCTGCACTCCTGCCAGAAACCCCTGCTAGAGAGGGTACCTGGAGAAAGTGCCCAGACAGACGTCTTCACCAGGGTCTGATCTGCGCCTGCAGGCGTGAAAGGACCCGGCGGCCAGCACCCGGGCCAGCGCCTTCAGAGGGACAGCACACGCTCCCCCCACACTGTTCTCCGCCGAGTCGGCCTCAGGGTTCCGTGCGTGTGAGCCAGTCCCCAGTGAGCAGACCACGGGGCATTCAGAGCAGAGCGCTCTGACCCAATTAAGCAGAAGCTCTGAAACGGCTCAGAAACAAGTCAAGCGTCTGCTCTCAGGTCCCGAGACACATTGCTGCACAGTCCCAATTTCTGTGCAAAGAAAATAGATAAACAAAGAGAAAACACACACATGCTGACATGTACACAGACATATCTCTGCAAAGGCACCGAGAAGTGTCCATGGAAACTGTTCCTGCCCCACCTGTGGGAGTAAGGCCACGGGGACTTGGACCATCCGTGGTATCTGAAAGAATTCTGTGGTCACTTTTGTGACCTTTTATGAAATCCATCATGTGTATGAGTGATCACAATCATTGTCTTGACTCTGGTGATGTTTTAAAAGGTGTATACAGCCCTGGCCGGTTTGGCTCAGTGGTTAGAGCGTCGGCCTGCGGTCCGGAGAGACCCGGGTTCGGTTCCCGCTAAGGGCACGTACCTCGGTTGCAGTTTGTCCCCGGCCCTGGTTAGGTCGTGCGGGTGGCAGCCACTCAATGTGTCCCTTTCACGTTAATGTTTCTTTCTCTCTCTCTCTCTCTCCCTCCCATTCTATCTGAACAAAAAATGGAGAAATGTCCTCGGGTGAGGATAAAAAAAAAAAAGTGGCCCTGGCCAGTTTGGCTCAGCGGTTAGAGCGTCGGCCTGCGGTCCGGAGAGACCCGGGTTCAGTTCCCGCTAAGGGCACGTACCTCGGTTGCAGTTTGTCCCCAGCCCTGGTTGGGTCGTGTGGGTGGCAGCCACTCGATGTGTCCCTTCACATCGATGTTTCTCTCTCTCTTCCTCTCTCTCCCTCCCACTCTATCTGAATAAAAAATGAAAAAAGTAATTGTCCTTGGGTAAGGATTAAAAAAATAATACTACAATAAAAGGTGTATACATACGGTAAAACTTATCGGATGGTACACTTTAAATATGTCCAGTCTATTGTATGTCAAATACATATCTCAATTAAACCGCATATATTTCAAGCGAACAAGCTCAGTGAGCTCGGCTGAGCCTCGGCACGGGCCTTGGCCTTGGCCTGGGGAGAGGCCCGGAGGGCGGCATGGACAGGCCTGCAGGGCGAGGAAGGAGACCACCCTGGTTCTGTGAATGCCCTTCCCAGAGGCTCTGCTCGGTCCTCCAGGCCCTGAAGACAGGAGGGAGCGGGAGGCTGAGCCCCACAAAGCGCTCTACGTGGCGGCCCCACCCCCACGTGCTGGTCGTGAGCTTCCTGGGCTGGAGCCAGCTGCGGAGCTGCCTACGAGAACCGAACCAGCCAGGCCTTGCTACCCCTCGACACCAAGTGCTGGGCCCAAAAAGAGGCTCCTAGATTTCAGGCAGCACCCCTGAGTGCTCTGGGACTGGCCAGGTTCTGCAGCAATACACCCTGCCGGGCCGGCTCAGTAACCTCCCACTCCCCCCCTGCCACGTGCCCCAGCCCCCGCTCCACACACTGCCCGGCTGACCCCCTGCCGCTGTGCCTGCGCGTCCCTCGGTGCTGCAGGAGGGGGGGCCGACCGAGCAGAGCCTGGTGGCAGCCGGCAGCCCAGGGAGACTTGTCGGGCAGAGCTGAGGGCCTGTCAGGCCCAATGACCCGGCCTCACAGCCCCCTCCCGACCCCCAAACCCACCTCACTGAGGGCTCCCCGGCCAGGTTCACTTCAAACATCGTGTTTGTTTTGCCCAACAGAAGTCCATTTCACCCAAACCAAACTCTCCCTTCAACTCAGAGACTATGTGTCAAAATCTCTGTTTTCTTAAAAATATTTTTTTCTTTAAGCCCGGCCGGTGTAGCTCAGTGGCTTAGCGTCGACCCTGCACCAAGAGGTCATCGGTTCAGTTCCCGGTCAGGGCACATGCCCAGGCTGTGGGCCCGACCCCCGTCCCGGGGAGAGATGCACGGAGGAGGGCGCCCTCAGTGCTGCGCACCCCCCCGAACCCGCAGCCCGGGAGAATCTGCCAGGACCCCTGCACCGAGAGGGCGAGATGAGCCCGCTTCAGGACGAGCACGCTCAGGGGAGGCCTCCTCGCAACGTCCCCGACGGTGGCCGGCACGAGCAGGAGCGCAGTGCTGCCTGGGGGCCCCAGGACCCCACGGAGGGGCGAGACTTTCTCGGGGTAGCGAGGGTGTCTGGCCAGCCACACGGCCTCGTTCGTCAACAGCAGGGCCAATCCACTGGCCATGCTCGCCTTATGATTCAGTAAGGCGGCAGACCTGCCTCGGGATAGAGAGGTGTCAGACCACGAACAGCACCCACGGCCTCAGGACAAAGTCACACCTCTTGCGTGGCCAGCCCTGCCTGCTTCTGGCGGTCACCTCCAGCCACACCTGCACACACGCCCTCTTCGTGCCCGGGAAGAAACACCACCTGCTTTGCCGTGCACGTCTTAAATCTCCCCTCCCCTCTGCCTCCGCCCAGTCCTCACAGCCTCCCTCGACCGTGGGCGGCTGACCTGGGTGGGCCTCCCTGTCCTCTTCCGTCACAACCACTGGACCGTAAGTGCTGATGCCCGTGTCTGCCGCCCTCGCCAGGTCAGCCCCCACCCTCCCTGCCTGACACATAACAGGTTCTCAGCAAACACTTGGCTGGATTTTCTAAAATAAACTGTGAAAACGCCACTGACAGTTGCTGAACTGAGGATGAGACAGCGGGCCTCACGCACACCCTCTCCCACCCAGCGGAAGGGAGACGGCCCGAGGTCTAGAACCTCGGGCTGCTGCAGAAGGGAAGGGAAGAGCACATGAAGGGGCCTGTCCCGCAGACACAGGGGCTCCCACCCCATGGCAGGGGCACGTGACATCACCCACCATGTCCAAGCCCAGCCCCATGATCAGCTCTCAGGCTTCTCACCGCAACACAGACCACACGCCAGCGCCTGCCCTGCAGCCCCCCACACCCCGCCCAGGGTCTGTCTCACCAACCTGCCCTTGACTCTGCAGCAGACCAGAAAAGGGTTTAGGTTGAAGGCAGGAGAGGAGGGAAGCAGAGTCACCCTGCCCCCTGCCCTCTCCTGGCACCGCGAACAAAGTGCGAACAAAGTGCGAACAAAGTGCCGCTGCAGCAGGACGAGGAGCCGCCGGGACGCCAGGCGAGGGAGGGGGCGCACCTCGAGACCCGAGGTCTGCCAACTGGGCAAAAGCATTCTCAAAGGCGTGGTCCAAGCAGAGGCAGCCTTGCCCGCCCCCCAAACACAGCTTCCCTGTCCGCGCCGGCCACTGCCCTTCCCTGTGCGCTCGTCCCCGCCTGAAGTCAGGACGCGGGGACTCAACACCGCACGCGGCACATCCCCTGCGATGCTGGAGACACCTCCCGCCCCGGACCTCTCCCCATCACACCGGCTGCCTATTTATATCAAAGAGGTTGTAAGAAACATGTTTGAAAGCGTCCGCTCACCCCCAAAACATATCACCGTCAGGAGGGAAGCTTCTGGAAATCCAGGACATGCAAAGAAGAAAACCCCACCCCCCTTTTCTAGCACCTGTAGCCCATTATCAAGTAAACATTAACCACCAAAGTCACAGTTCATCTGGATCGATCCACTTTGGTATCTACAGTCCACCAGCTGACAGTGGACCAGCGTCCACCCCACCCAGGACGTGGAGAGCCGAGAACTCAGCCAGGACACCGCCTGTCCCAGTGTGGCCCGTCCATTCTCTCCACTGGTCAGCGACAGTGACCCACGCCCTTCCCACGGTCCAGGCAGGGGGCCAGGCCCTGAACACGCCGACACGGACAGGGCGGATCCTCTGCCTGCTCAGTGGCGTGGAACTGCCCTCTCCTGATGCAGTCGGCCCTCCTGACACCTCTTCCCGTCCGCATCAGCCTCGAGGCTCAAACCCTGAGCTACGGGTACATGTGTGAGACGATCTTTTTTTTTTTTCCTCACCCGAGGACGTTTTTCCATTTTTTGTTCAGATAGAGTCGGAGGGAGGGAGGGAGGGAGAGAGAGAGAGAGAGAGAAACATCGATGTGAAAGGGACACATCGAGTGGTTGCCACCCGCACGACCCAGTCAGGGCCGGGGACAAACTGCAACCGAGGTATGTGTCCCTACTGGGAACCGAACTCAGGTCTCTCCGGACCACAGGTCGATGCTTTAACCGCTAAGCAAAACCGGCCAGGGCTGTTAGATGGTCCTAACAGTAGACGAGGAAAATCGAGTTGTCACTTCAGGAAAGCAGACTGAAGGCTCTGACCTGCTGCACACAGACCAGGCCCCACCGAGGGCTCTGACCTGCTGCACACAGACCAGGCCCCACCAAGGGCTCTGACCTGCTGCACACAGACCAGGCCCATGAGGGCTCTGACCTGCTGCACACAGACCAGGCCCCACCGAGGGCTCTGACCTGCTGCACACAGACCAGGCCCCACCGAGGGCTCTGACCTGCTGCACACAGACCAGGCCCATGAGGGCTCTGACCTGCTGCACACAGACCAGGCCCCACCGAGGGCTCTGACCTGCTGCACACAGACCAGGCCCATGAGGGCTCTGACCTGCTGCACACAGACCAGGCCCCACCGAGGGCTCTGACCTGCTGCACACAGACCAGGCCCCACCGAGGGCTCTGACCTGCTGCACACAGACCAGGCCCCACCGAGGGCTCTGACCTGCTGCACACAGACCAGGCCCCACATGAGGGCTCTGACCTGCTGCACACAGACCAGGCCCATGAGGGCTCTGACCTGCTGCACACAGACCAGGCCCATGAGGGCTCTGACCTGCTGCACACAGACCAGGCCCCACCGAGGGCTCTGACCTGCTGCACACAGACCAGGCCCCACCGAGGGCTCTGACCTGCTGCACACAGACCAGGCCCATGAGGGCTCTGACCTGCTGCACACAGACCAGGCCCCACCGAGGGCTCTGACCTGCTGCACACAGACCAGGCCCATGAGGGCTCTGACCTGCTGCACACAGACCAGGCCCATGAGGGCTCTGACCTGCTGCACACAGACCAGGCCCATGAGGGCTCTGACCTGCTGCACACAGACCAGGCCCATGAGGGCTCTGACCTGCTGCACACAGACCAGGCCCCACCGAGGGCTCTGACCTGCTGCACACAGACCAGGCCCATGAGGGCTCTGACCTGCTGCACACAGACCAGGCCCATGAGGGCTCTGACCTGCTGCACACAGACCAGGCCCACTCAGCAGGAAGCTTTCGGAGCTGACACGTGTCAAGATGATGATGAAAACAGGGCACTCAGAAAGAATGTCACCTTTAGAAGAAAGTCTCAAAGTCACAATCAAAGCATATCTGAGTGTGCAGAGCCAGACAGATAGACAGTGTGAAAGTCGTAGGAGATGAGGCTCAACTATAAAAAGGGACCTCAACGGCCAGAGCCGGGCCACCTAGGAGGCCCACGCACAACGAAAGCTTGTCGGCCAACACCTGCCGCTTGGCTGGCCTGCAATGTGAACCCAGCTCCCCCGGGGACTGAGGACCAGGAAGTGAGAGTCAAAAATCACAAGGACACGATAAGGAATCATAAGTACATCGTAATAAGAGACAGTAAGAAAACTCCTTTAAATCTGTGACACCCGCGCTGTTGTTTAGCGGTCAGTTTTGTGATCATCGTAATAAAATGCTGGCCCATACTCCAAAGGTCACAGGTTCGATTCCCGGTCAAGGGCACGCACCTGGGCTGCAGGTTCGATCCCTGGCCCCAGTCAGGGCGTGTACTAGTGGCAACCAATTGATGTGTCTCTCTCACATCAATGCTTCTCTCTCTCTCTCCCGCTCCCCCACTCCCTGCCTCCCTTCCCCTCTCTCTCAAAATCAACGGAAAAAATATCTTTGGGTGAGGATTAACAAAATAAATAAAATAAAATGTGAGTGATTTGTTTTATTTTAAAGTGTTTAAATTATTTAAAAGAATTTGGTTTAACTAAGCTTGCAATCAATTATTTATGTTTGGATAGATCCGAGTTGTTGACCTCATGATTTACTAGTTGCATGAACACTTTGGAGATATTTAGAGAAATGTTCATTGATAAAAGCGAATGGAAACCGAAGTACATGTAGTAGGAAAAGTTCCTTCCCGAGTGCACTGGGGACCCAGGGACTCCCACGCCATGATGGTTTGGGGCTGTGTGTGTTTCTGGTGGCAGAGGAGGACAGACCACGGAGGAAGAGATCGGAAGCAGCAGGACTTCTGGGGCAGGTACTTCCAGACACCGCCCGGCTGTGTCCTGCATTCCCAGGCCGTGTGCTCGCACTGCTTGGTTGACTAAAATATCCCTGACAGCCTCCCCATGTCCCAAACCCACCGTCCTGTCTGGACAGGATTGGGACGGAATGGTTCCCCTCCCTAATCTGTACTCCACCAGGGGGGGGGGGGCACCGGAGGGGGTGGACAGCAGAGGGGGGGCACCAGAAGGAAGCAAGGGATACCCCGGCTACGCAAGGCATCTGCTGCCGGGGCCTCAGGATCTTACCTCGTGCTCGAAGTCGCCCCCCAGCGTCCCAATGTCCAGGTGCAGGTTCTTGAGCAGCTCACTTGAGCTGCGGACACTCTGAAACAGGCATGATCGTGCGAGGTAAGCTGGAGGAACTGGACAGCCAGGGGAGGGTCGGAGGCTCTCTGCTGGCCACTTCCCCAGTCAGATAAGAGGTCTGCAGACTGGGCGTGAACTGAAGTGGGCGCTGCAAAATCCTTTTTACTACTTTCAAAGTCACGTAGAGGTTACCAAACGGGAGAACAGCCCAGCCCGTGTGGCTCAGTGGTGGAGGGAGCATCATCCCAGGGACGGAGAGGTCTTGGTTCAATTCCCCATCAGGGCACATGCCCGGGTTGCAGGCTCAATCCCCAGTGGGGGGCATGCAGGAGGGAGCCAACTGATGTTCTCTCTCATTGATGTTTCTATCTCTTCCTTCCTCTCTCTTTAAAAAGTCAATAAAAACATTTTTTTTTAAATATATTTGAATTGCTTTTTAGAGAGGAAGGGAGAGGGAGCGATAGAGACATCGATGTGAGAGAGAACCATGGATTGGCTGCTGCCTGCATGCCCACAACCCGGGCATGTGCCCTGACCGGGAATCAAACCAGGACCTCTCCGTCCCTAGGTTGACAATGCTCAATCACTGAGCCACATCAGCCAGGCAATAAAAACATTTTTTTTTTTAAAAAAAGTGAAAACAGCCCTGGCCGGTTTGGCTCAGCGGTTAGAGTGTCGGCCTGCGGTGCTAAGGGCATGTACCTCGGTTGCAGTTTGTCCCCGGCCCTGGTTGGTCGTGCGGGTGGCAGCCGCTCGATGTGTCCCTTTCACATCGATGTTTCTCTCTCTCTTCCTCTCTGCCCCTCCCTCTCTACCTGAACAAAAAATAGAAAAATGTCCTCAGGTGAGGATAAAAAAAAAAAAAGTGAAAACAACCCAAGTGTCCCTCAGCAGATGAGTGGATAAGCAGTGTGGCCTATTTACACAGTAAGCACGACTCGGCCACAGAAAGGAAGACATTCTGATACGGGCTGCAAGGTGGCAGAGCCTGGAAACCTCACGCCACACGAAGAAGCCACATTCCAGGACAGGACTGTGACTATACTTCCAGGAAACACCTAGAATAGGCACATTCAGACAGAAAGCAGACCAGAGGTTGCCAGAGGCCGGGGGAGGACAGGGCGTCACTGCTCAGACGGAGGTGTGGGGCGGGGGGCCAGCTGTGGACAAGGACAGGGGACAACAGCACAACACTGTCAGAGTGATGGAAACTTTCATGTTCTACGTATTTTACCACAATAAAGAAATTTCAGAAAGATGCAGCACAGGGGTCTGCAGGCCAGGAGGAGGGCCCGTCGTTACCTGGTTGTCACTGTCCGCCTCGCCCTCCTCGATGGTCCCCTCCCCCGCAGCCGAGAGGCTGACCACATTGCTGTCCTCATGGAGGGGGCCCAAGAGACCCTCCGTGTGAGCAGAAGCCTTGGGGCCCTGTGAAGGCTCAAAACAGAGAAGGAGAGTCAAGGGGCTCACGAGGAAGACCTCCGATGGCCTTCGGGGCTCTCCCCGCGCCCCTGCCGTGTCGCTGTCTTCCTGCGCGAGGCAGCCGTCCACAGGGCTGCCCCGTGACCCCTCAGGGGATCCCTCCTCTCCCAGCTGCCGCTGCCACCCTCCAGGCCGGGTCCCCCTCCCACGACGCACCCTCTGCTCTCATCTGTGGGCCACACGGTGCCCAGCACGGCACAAGGAGGCCCCAGTAGCGAAGTACACGTAAGAAAGAAAAGCATTTACCAGCGTGAGTTCTCCAAGCTGACCGGACTCCACGGAGCTCCCCAAGCTCACACTCTGCGACACACGGAGCGCCGAGGGCGGGGCCTCAACCAAGCCGCGCAGGGGAGCCAGGCCCCCCGGAGGAGCATGGACGGGGGCCAACGAGCAGCCCAGGGCCTGGGCAACAGAAAACATCGTGTTACGAACCCAAGAACCACGTGGTCCTGGGTGCTGGCGACAGCTACAGAAATAAAACGTGCAAACCCTGCCCAGGCGAATGCAAAGCACCTCCGTCCAGGGGCTGCTGATGGATCAGAGCATCTAGAAGTGACCCCTGTGCCCACCACAGACACCACGGGCTGGTCCCCGGTGCTCAGCCCCCGGCTCACAGCTGGAGAGCTGACCATGTGCCCACTGCAGACACCACGGGCTGGTCCCCGGTGCTCAGCCCCCGGCTCACAGCTGGAGAGCTGACCCTGTGCCCACAAAGAACACCACGGGCTGGTCCCCGGTGCTCAGCCCCCGGCTCACAGCTGGAGAGCTGACCCCGTGCCCACCGCAGACACCACGGGCTGGTCCCCGGTGCTCAGCCCCCGGCTCACAGCTGGAGAGCTGACCCCGTGCCCACCGCAGACACCACGGGCTGGTCCCCGATGCTCAGTCCCCGGCTCACAGCTGGAGAGCTGACCCCGTGCCCACTGCAGACACCACGGGCTGGTCCCCGGTGCTCAGCCCCCGGCTCACAGCTGGAGAGCTGACCCCGTGCCCACTGCAGACACCACGGGCTGGTCCCCGATGCTCAGCCCCCGGCTCACAGCTGGAGAGCTGACCCCGTGCCCACTGCAGACACCACGGGCTGGTCCCCGATGCTCAGCCCCCGGCTCACAGCTGGAGAGCTGACCCCGTGCCCACTGCAGACACCACGGGCTGGTCCCCGGTGCTCAGCCCCCGGCTCACAGCTGGAGAGCTGACCCCGTGCCCTCTGCAGACACCACGGGCTGGTCCCCGGTGCTCAGCCCCCGGCTCACAGCTGGAGAGCTGACCCCGTGCCCACTGCAGACACCACGGGCTGGTCCCCGATGCTCAGCCCCCGGCTCACAGCTGGCAGAGGTGACCCCTGTGCCCACCGCAGACACCACGGGCTGGTCCCCGGTGCTCAGCCCCCGGCTCACAGCTGGAGAGCTGACCCTGTGCCCTCTGCAGACACCACGGGCTGGTCCCCGGTGCTCAGCCCCCGGCTCACAGCTGGAGAGCTGACCCTGTGCCCTCTGCAGACACTATGGGCTGGTCCCCGGTGCTCAGCCCCCGGCTCACAGCTGGAGAGCTGACCCTGTCCCCACCGCAGACACCATGGGCTGGTCCCCGATGCTCAGCCCCCCCCCCCTCACAGCTGGAGAGGCTGCTCTCCTTTCAGACCCCACGCTGGGAGAGGGGGAGGGGAGAGCAGAGACGAAGCCCCATGGACCAGACTGAGAAGTCTCGGTGGATCAGCTTTGAAACCGATGAGTCACGCATGCGCCAGCACATTGGGCACAGACGTGGAGAAACACCAGCGGAGCCCCCGGAGCTGCTGTTCTCACGGGCTCGAGCAGGACTGACCTGTGTGACCCGGGCGGGAGCGATGCACCCGACCGCGGAGCGGCTCACTGCGCAGAGGGCCGCTCTCCTGCCCGGGCGGCGGAGGCGGGGCTGCCAGACGGGCCCTTCTCCCGGCCCTTCTCCCGGCCCTCCCGAGGCCCCGCGCCAGCAGGGACGGAGCCCCGGCTGCGGCCAGTCCATGAGCCCGCGGGCTGCTCACACCCTCCTGGACTCCTGGTCCACCCTCCTGGACGACGGCTGTTTCCTGTCACTGCGAGTCTGCTGAGAGGCTCGGACGAGCCCACAGACGAGGAGCAGGAGGCCGGGGCTGCGCCCCCGCCATGGAGCCGCTGCACTAGGCTGGGCTGGGGGCAGAGGCAAGGACTGCATTCCGGGGACAATTTACAACAAACTCTTCAAAATTCACTCTGCAAACTCGAAATGTATAAACCAGCACAAAAAGTTCGTTTCTCTCTGATCCCACAGGGACTGAGGAAAGAAGGGGACCCCGGAGGCGGTCAGCGTCAGAACAGGCAGGCAGCCCTCTCCTCGCTCACAGCCTTGGCCTAGTGGCCAGGCCATCGGGCGGCTCTGAACAGGGCCCACCCCCAGGGCAAGGGCGCCCGACGCCATCAGAAAGGAGCCACGGGAACCACTCCAGGCCCGGGCACACTTCCGATCACCCAGCCCAGTCAGTCCCGTCAGGCAGAAGAGGAGGTGACGCAGATACAACTGGCCCACGTCACCAGTTGAGCCCCTTCCACGCCATGTCTCACTGCACTGTCCCAACAGCCTGGGGCCACCGTCCTCCCCACAGGAGCCGACGGACGCTGCTGAGGTCAGGACCCCTGCCCGGAGTCACAGGGCCAGCAGGGGGCAGGCATGGGCTTGGAGCCCAGGGCACCTCCAAGCTAGTACTTTACAGTGCCTCCTGGGTGTGCCAGAGGAGCCCAGGTGAGCTTCTCTGGGGTGAACCGCGGGCAAACCCGGCCTGCTCCTGGCCACCACCCTCCCAAGCAGCCATGTAGTCGCAGGCAAAATTCTTCCCACTGTATTAATGGGAAATGACAGATTCCTAACATGGCTAATTTTTAAGGTGCTGGGGGCCCGAGGGAGGAAGCAGCATGCCAAGGGCTCTGTTCTTGGGGCCTCTACCAAAGCCCTAGTTAGCAGGGAAATCACACAGTCCTGGCCCTGGAGGATCGTCCCTGCAGATGGCCGTCCACTCCGACGACGGGCAGACGCGGCGCTGTCCTTCAGCGCAGATGCGTGCTGCCGCTGGGCTCATTAACGCCTCCAGGGTGCTCTGCAGCGTAACTGCTGTTTGCAGAGCCACAGTGGTGATTCGAGTTAACAGAGAACAGTGCACACCGGCAACCAGGGGCCAGGGTGCCCACGGGCGGAGCCATGGATGGGCAGCCGCAGAAGTCAGAAATGCAAACAGACCCCAGGGTCCAACCCCCCCTGACTTCTTCTCAATGAAGACTTCGGTGTGGCTCGTCCAGGGACAAAGGGTCAAATGACAAGCGAGCCCAACCCTCTGTGCGTCCCAGTGGGGAGCGGATGGGGCACAAACAGAGCCTGCAGCTCAACACCCGTTGTTTGCAAGGTTTCTGGGAGCCCCGGGAGGCCAGGGGCACAGCAGCTCACGGGATGCAGACACTGGGCCTCAGCCCCTGTGACAGTGTCAACTCTCCGCTTCTGAGAAGGGACTAAGTTCAGAGCTTGGTAGGTGTCTGATTAGGAGGACCTCTCTCTGATCAGCTGACGGGCAAGGCTCCCCAAGTCCTGGGCAGGCACCGAGACCCCCCCTGAGTGCCAGGACCGGTGCTCCCTTGCTCACCCGGAGCTACTCATCTCCAAAGCATGTGAACCCCCAGGAAATCCAGGCACCTCCGGCACCTACCTTGCAGGTGATGGGGAAGAAGAACATGAAATACGTGTCCTCCCACAGGATGGCCATCCTGAGTAGTTAAGGGATCAACAGGCACCGAGGGAGGACACGGAGCAGGAGCGCAGACCTGACGCTGCACTAACCGCCCTCTGCCACGCCCTGCTCCACGCTCGCGGCCTGAGGCCACGCACAAAGCCTACCTGGCTGCGAGGCTGCGTCCTGCCCGGCTCTCCAGCGAGCCCTCCGCTGGAACTTGGCTCGCCCAGCCCCTGCCTGGGAGGGCCGCTGCTCGGCTGCACGCAGGCGTGCTGAGAGGCCTCCTGCCCAGCCAGGGCCGCCTCCTGAGGGTGCTCCGGCAGCTCCAGTCCCCAAGCCAGAAACCTCGGGTCCATCTCCACGGCTCTGACGGCCGCGTGGTCACCCCCACCAGTCATGCTGGCCGCCAGGCGGCAGACCATGCCGCTGAGGTTTCCGCACGGCATTTCCTGCACGCTCTCAAGCAGCCCCAGGTTCTCCAGCTGCCTGGACATGTTGGCCATCCCCAGGATGTGCCGGTAGAACCTCTGGTCCTCAGAGTAGTCGCTCTCTGACTCCTCCTCGGCAGAGCTCTGCAAGTGAAACAGCTGGGGCACGAGTAAGGGGCCAGAGTGCAGACCTCTGGGTCCAGGGCCTGGCTGACCCGCACCCCACCCGGACCCCTGCGAGCTCTGCAGGTCCCATGGGAAGTTATTCACCTCCCCCACGATCTGAGAGCCCAGGTGAGAAGCCAGACTGCTGCTGCTGGAGCAGCTCTCCAAGTGAGGCCCGTGCCCCTCGGCCCCCCCGGCCTCCCCGGCCTCCTCGGGGGGCTCTGCACACACTGCTGCGAGCTGTCTCTCCCCACGGGCAGGAGGTGCCCCGGGAGCACTCCCTGAAGGCTTCTGGGCGGGCTCAGGTGCCAGAGGGTCAGTTGGTATCGAGGAGAGGGCCTGGAGCCGCCCTTCCGCGGAGGCCCCTGGGCCCTCAGGACCCGGCTCTGTTTCTCTGTAGCTCCCATGGCTGTCCTTGCTGACAGGCCGAGAGACCTGCCCCATCCACAGTCCTGCAGGCTCTGTCCTCCTCCTTCCGCAGCCCACACCCCCACCTGTCCTGGAAACACCCCGCCAGCTCAGGCCCTCGTTGTCCCTGGTAGGCAGCATCTGGTCAGAGGAGCAAGAGGACAGGCAAGGGCCCTCCTCTGGGGGCGGTGAGGGCGTGGGGCTCGGGCCCTGGTCCCCCGCGGGGCCAGTGGAGTGCAGGCGGGCCCTGCTGCGGCTGTGCTGCTCCCCGTCCGGCTGGGGGCCCGGGACGGTCTCAGGAAGCTCTGTGTGGACAGAGGCCTGGCTCCCACTTTCTAACACAGCCTGCCCGTGCCAGGGGGGCCTGCTGTCCTCCGCGCCCAGCGTGCCGAGGGCCTGCCGTCTGGGCCTCACCTCTGGCTCTTCTAGTTCAGGGTCTGAGAGCCCCAGGTGGATTTCCTCAGTCAGCTTCTGGGGTTTCTCCAGACCCTGCTGATCGCCTCCTTCTGTCCTGCACAAGACTGGGGCCCTGCCTAGGATTTGCTCCACGTCGGCAAAGAGCTGGGGGGGCCGGGCAGCTTGGCCCTTGGAGAGAGGCTGCAGCCTCCGGGGCAGGCTGCCCTGGAGCGGCCAGGGGCTGTCGCCAGGCAAGCACGGACTCTGCCCTGTCTTAAAGGGGCCCTCAGTTCTAGCCTGTGTGCCTTGGTCTGGGTCCAGATCAGCAAGCCCAGGTGCTGGGAGAGGGGGTGGGCCACGGAGAAAGGAGGGAGGAGGCAGAAGTCCCTGCTCGGGCTGTGGTTCCTAGAGGGACATATAAACATGCAGAGAAAACTAAGACAAAGCACTTGGGACTTAGACTTGCTACCTCTGCCCCTGGCAAGCCCCTAGCAGAAACACTCTCCATTTAAAGTAAAGCACAGAGAGGGAAGAGAGAAGCCGAAAGTGCTCTCGGGCTCTGGGGTTTCTGCCGGGCCCCTCAGCACACGCAGGAGGCCAGACCAGATGAGGACGTGCACACCTGCTGCGCAGGGCACCCTGAGGTGCTGCGGTGCACACGCACGGGGCAGGGGAATCACCACGACCACACCCCAGTTCAACCACGGCAGTTCCCCTTCTCTATATGCGAGACCTCCCTGAGGAGCTGATCTGAAAACAGGCTTCACTACTGACCAAATCAGCAACCAGATCGCCCCTAGGTGCCATCAAGCTCTCAGTCACGTGGCTGGTTAAGTTCGTAAACCCACCGCCCTCATCAAGGCCTGCCCGAACCATCTCGGACGGGAGAAGAGGGGAACCTAACTGGGCTGAGCCTTGGAAACGCAGCCTCGGTCCTTCTACCAAGGCAGGAGCTGGTACTGCCCACGCAGTCAGAGAACGTTGGGGCTAGAAGAAACCCTAAAAACACATCAATCACACCCTGCAGGCATTCACTCTGAACTCCACCTGGCCCGTGAGCACACACCTCCAGAGAGCCCAGACCACCTGAGCCAGGTCACCCACCTGCCTGCCCCCTAGACACACTCAGGGTTGAGACTCCTGTCCTGAGCCCTAAGATACAGACTGGCAGCCTGGGGTTACCCAGTTGTCCCAGCTCCTGAAACTACGTAAAGATTCTTTTTAACAGGGGCTCAAGGAACTCAGTTAAATACCCAGAACTCGGTCTAGTACCCAGCCCTCCACCCCAGAATCCTCAACTTCATTTTCTCGACCACCTTTAGCCATGCCACAACCTGTCCAGATGCTGAATATCATTTAAAGTAATTCTGAGCAGCCCTGGCCGGTTCGGCTTAGCAGTTAGAGCATTGGCCTGCAGCCCAGAGAGACCCAGGTTTGGTTCCCACTAAGGGCACATACCTCGGGCACATGTCCCCGGCCCTGGCTGGGTTGTGCGTGCAGGAGGCGGCCACTCAATGTGTCTCTCATGTGATGTTTCTCTCTCTCTTTCTCTCTCCCTCCCATTCTATCTGAACAAAAAATGGAAAAATGTCCTCGGGTGAGGATAAAAAAAAAGTAATTCTGAGTAGCCCTGGCTGGTTTGGCTCAGCAGTTAGAACATTGGCCTGAGGACCAAAGAGTCGTGGGTTTGATTCCTGGTCAAGGGCACATACAAGGGTTGCAGATGCATCCCCAACCCCAGTCTGGGTCGTGTGGGAGGCAACCAATCAATGTGTCTCTTTCACACTGATGTTTTTTCTCCCTCCCCCTCTCTCTCGCTCTCTCCCTTCCAATCTATCTAAAAAAAAAAAATTAAGCCCTGGCCAGTTTGGCTCAGCGGTTAGAGCATCAGCCTGCGGTCCCGAGAGACCCGGGTTCAGTTCCCGCTAAGGGCATGTACCTCGGTTGCAGTTTGTCCCCAGCCCTGGTTGGTCGTGCAGGTGGCAGCCACTCGATGTGTCCCTTCACATCGATGTTTCTCTCTCTCTCTCTTCCTCTGCCTCCCTCCCGCTCTACCTGAGCAAAGGAATGGAAAAATGTCCCCGGGTGAGGATAGAAAAAAAAAAAGGAAAAATATCCTCAGGTGAGGATTAACAATAATAGATAAATAAATAAACAAATAAAGTAATCCTGGGTAAGAGAAATTTCAAACATGACTTCAGAAAACCCAAGCTCTTTGGAAACTCCCTGTCCTCTTCTCTACCGCGAGTTGTGTTAGTTCTCAGAACCGAGGATCAACCTGTGCAGGGGGAGGGAGGGAGGAGACCTGTAGAGCTTAGAAATGATAAGAAGGACAGTTCGCCAGCAACCATCCAAGGGCGGAAGACCGGAGGGAGCTTCCCTGAGAACTGGGCACCAGGCACCGTGGGAAGTGAAGACCATAAACAAGAACCAATCCGCTGACTGGACGCGTGAAGACAGCCCGGTGCTCCTCAGCGCCCCGCCCTGCCCCCGCGCCTGCCCACCCCGGTGAAGGGAGGCCGGCGTCCCTGTGCTGCCTCAGTTGGGCAGCCTGGACCTCGCTTCTAGGGTGCCAGGTCTCAGCTCTCCACCTAGAAAATGGGGCGATGACCCTGCCTCCTAGGGACAGACACACTGAAGGGACAAACAAAACAATAATGGAAAAAAGCACCTTCCACTCTGAGTCAAACAGCCATCTGAGACCAAGGTTATCACTCTGCAATCATATCTCATTGTCTGTCACTAACCTAGGGCACTGGCCACAAAGACACCCCAGGAGTGAACGTCCCTGGGGACACGGAAGGCACTGGGGTTCTGACGCTGAATTGCGCTTCATCTGACATCTAGGAGGCTCACCACGGACACACACCTGGAGCCACACACACAGAGTGTCTCCCCTGACTCTGAAGGGGGAGACACTCTGTTCACACAGGATCCCTGCCCCTGCCAGCTGTCCCGTCCCCCTCTCCAGAGGGGCAGCTGACATCACTTCTTTCACTAGTATTCAGACCACCGTCCCCAGCAGAGCACCCCTCTCACCAATCCGAGTACATATTAGGTCCTTCCCAAGGGGAAAGGAAGTGTTTAGAAAGAGTAAAAACTTCTAGAGGCTAAAGGGAAAATTCGCCAGACGACTGACGTCCTACCAAGAAGTTACTATCAACGGTGTTCCTCCCAGCCGTGTACACCCCGAGCCCAGCCTCCCCAGGTTGCAGCCCGGCCTCCTGGAGCTGACATCCCGGCTCACCATGGCGCTTCTGGGGGTCTCTTTGTCCTTCTTGTCTTTCTTTTCCTTTTTCTTCTTCTTGTGCTTCTTCTTCATAGCCCCAGAAGCTGCCAGCTTCCCTCGCTCTTGGGTCACCAAGTTCCGGTAGTGCTCGTCACACGGGTGGTCCCACATGGACTGCCCGTTGGCGAAGTTGAAGTAGTAGATGTCGCCTGTGATGTCCTGGCTGGGGGTGAGCAGAGCCAGAAGTTAGTCCCTGCTCGAATCCAAGCGACCCAGGAAAAGAAGAGGAAGAAAAGCAGTGAGGAAGCAGGGGAGGAGGAATCGGGGAAAAAGGGAAGAAGGAGAGAGAAGATGGGAGGAGAGAGGACGACAGGAAAGCATAACACAGAGTTGGAAGGGCACCATGTAGCTAAGAACAGAGGAGTTCACTTTGGCAGGAACACAGAACGGGGATACTAGGGACTCTCGGAGACGCATAATCACTGGGGTTCCGGCAATCCGTGCTAGACTGCTGTAGGAATAAACTTGGTTTGAGATGGGTAAGTACAAATACTACGGTAGATTGGAGATAAAATCTAGGATAGACCTTGCTTAAGAATTTTATGAATGGTGTGAGGAAGAAAGTTACATGGTACCAGCTCTTACAAAATGGTACCAGTTTTACAAAAGCCCCAAACTCGCTGTAATTGGTGACAGCTGACTCTAGTGGGTCAATGACAGAAGAAATAATGCAGAAGGTGGGTTTCAGGAATCTGTGCTCCAACATGCACAGGTCCAAAAGAAACCATTTATCCTCACCACCACTGTCAACAATCCATTAAGACAGATCATAGAAAAGACAACATTCACCATAGCAATGTAAGAGCTAAATGCCCAGGAATAAATCCAAAGTGCAAAATCTTTACAAAGCTTTACTGAAAGCCAGGAAAAAGAAGAAAAACAATTAGAGAAAAGACTCCATGTTCCTAAATAGAAAAACTCAAGTCTGCAAACAAGCCAACAATGCTCCACTTTAATCCATTCGATCCCAGCAGAACCCCAATCGGCCTCCTCGTAAAACCTGACAATTCAGTCTCTATTCAAATAAAATAGAAAATACACAGAAGTAAACTGGAAAAAAAATATCGGGGTAAAAGATAAAAAGAAGATATATAAATGGCCTATAAGCCCGGCCGGTGTGGCTCGGTGGTTGAGCGTTGACCCTGCACCAAGAGGTCGCCGGTTCGATTCCCGGTCAGGGCACATGCCCAGGTTGTGGGCCCGATCCCCGGTGTGGGGCATGCAGGAGGTGGCCAATAGATGTTCCTCTCATCAATGTTTCTCTCTCTCTCTCTCTCCCCCCTCTTTCCTCTCTCTCTAAAGTCAATAAAGGAAATAATAATAATAAATAAATGGTCAATAAGCACATGAAAAGACACTCAATATCACTAAAAATCAAAGAAATTAAAATTAAAAGCACAATAAAATACTCCTCCACACCCATTACCATGGCTAATTTCACAAAAGCAGAAAATAACACGTGCAGACAAGGATGTGGAAAACAGAAACCCTTGTGCTCTGCTGGTGAGAATGTATAACGGTGCAGCCACTGTGAAAACCATACGGCAGGTCCTCAGAAGTTGACAATTGCCACATGACCCAGCAGTTCAACCTCTGGGTACATACACAGAACTGAATGCAGCCCTGGCTGGTTTGGTTCAGTGGTTAGAGCGCTGGCCTGCGAACCCAAGAGTCGCAGGTTCGATTCCTGGTCCAGGACATGTACTTCGGTTGCAGGTTCCATCCCCCGCCCCAGTCAGGGTCAAGCAGGAGGCAACCAATTGAAGTGTCTCTCTCACATTGATGTTTCTCTCTCCCCCTCCCTCCCTCCCTCCCTCTCTTCCACTCTATCTGAAAGAATCGATGGAAAAATACCCACAGGTGAGGATTAGGAAAAAAAAAAAAAAAAGAACAAGAATGCAGAATTCAAACAGACTTTTGTATATAGGCCCTGGGAACTTGGGTTGTTGTGTTTTCTAAAATATGATTTTATTGATTTCAGAGAGAGGAAGGAAGGAGAGAGAGAGAGAAACATGGATCAGCTGCCCCCCAAACGCCCCTTCCTGGGGATCCAACAGCAACCAAGCATGTGCCCTGACAAGGACACAAACCGACGACCTTCTGGGGCATAGGCCTGGCCAATGCTCAGCCACGGAGCCACACCAGCCAGGTGGGAACTTGGTATTAACGCCAATGTTCACGACAGCATTATTCATAATAGCCAAAGGTAGAAACAATCCAAATATCCACTGACAAATAAATGGATGGATGCAATGTTGTATATACATATACTAGAATATTATTCAGTCTTCAAAAGGAATTAAATTCTGAAAAACGCCACGACATGGATGAGCCTTGCAGACCTTACGCGTAGTAAAACGCGCCAGTCACAAAGGACAAATACTGTATGAGTCCACTTACGCGAGGTTCCCAGAACAGACAAATGAAGGGACAGAAAGTAGATCAGAGGTCGCCAGGAGCTAGAGAGAAGAACAAGGAGTGTGTCTTTAACGGATACAGTTTCCGTTTAGGAAGACGGAAGTTCTGGAGCCGGGTGGTGGCGATGGCTGCAGCTGCACAACACCGTGACTGTGCCTGACGCCGCTGAACTGTGCGTCTAAAGATGGTGAAAACAGTGCATTTTGTCACGTATATTTTACCACAAAAAAACTTACAAAAAAAAATCTTGGAACTTATGCGCTGACTAGAACCTCTAGTATAACTGCATAGAGCTGAAGACAGTGGACATTTCTGCCTCGTCCTCCTACAGGGCATAAGAAGGCATAAAGAAAATCAAAAGACAAGAAACTAGGAGAAAATAGTAGAAATGACAGTAGCAGAAGATCAGCACACAGGAAACCAGAGTTCCACCTCCTTCCCAAAATAAAAGATAAGCAACACAACAGACAAAAAGGCGAAGGATGTAAACAAGCAAATCACAAAAGATAAACCATGGCCAAGTGACGGCCAGCTTGACTCTATAAACAATTTGAAAAATACAAATGAAAACAATTGGGTATAAATTATTGTCTTCAAACTGACAATTTTTTGAATTGACAATTTTTAATTGATAATATTTTTAAACGAACAATCATATGTGCTTATTGGTGGGACTGATAAACTATAATGGAAAATAATTTGGTATTAAGCAACAATATTTAAATTCTTCACATCTTTTAACAGATCAATTTCAAGTTCTAGAAAGTTATCTAAGGAAACACAAACAAACTTCCGGCCACATACTGAACTGAACTGCAAACATCTGACCTCCTGTCACCCATGCCAACACAAATGAACTGGACTGATATACAACAGCAATTACAACAAATACGACAGAAACGTCTTTCAGCACAGCCCGGCGAAGAGACGTTCTCATGCCAGCAACAGGAAGAAGTGGACTCTGGGCAGTAAGGGCAGGACCCATCAGCTCAAGGCTGGGTGCTGACCTGGACATGGGCCCCGGGGACTCGGGTTTTCATGTCAATTTGCAAACACAAAATGTGGCCTCAGGCCTCCATGAATCTGGAACCTGGAAATGAGCCACGTACACTATCTGTGGGCCCTAGGAATGCTCCCTCCGTGAACAGAATGGCCACAGAGCCACGGAAACAACAAGGAAGCATGGCACTCCAGGACCTAGCAAAATCAACTTTTATGACTCACTGAAACCCCAAGACACATGCAGTACAGAGGCCAAAACGTGCCAAGGAGACCCACAGTCAGGACTCGATGTGAAAACGTAGTCCTGCACACTGGACACCCTGGACAGAAGCCATAAAGCCGCTCACCCACCTAAGAATAAAACACTCACAAAAAAGAACCTCTACAGAAAATGAACTCATCAAGTTCACAATAAATAATCACAAATCACGTGAGAAATCAGTTCACCGTGACAGAAAATCAGTGCCACAATGAACAGAAGAATTAGCACATCAAAACTCTTGGCTCAGCACTGGCCGGTGTGGCTCAGTCGGCTGGGCATCGTCTGTGCAACAAAAGGTTGCTGGTTCGATTTCCCAGCAGGGCACAGGCCCAGGTTGCGGGCTCCATCCCCGGTGGGGGGCGTGCAGGAGGCGGCCGATCGATGTTCCACTCCCACATTGATGTTTCTCTTTCTCTCCCTCCCCCTTCCTTCCTCTCTCTCAAAATATCAATAAAAGAGACTTCCGGTCAAGATGGCAGGTAGGTAAACGCGGTATCACGTCCTCCCACAACCACATCAAAGTTACAACTAAACTACAGAACAACCATCATTCAAAACCGCCTGAAATCAAGCTGAATGGAAGTCCTACAGCTACGGAATTAAAAAAAGCAGCCACATCCAGACTGGGAGGAGGGGCAGAAGGGACGGGCTGGCCCCACACCCACGGGTGGCGGATAAAATCAGGAGGCTCCCGCGGCAGGAAGGTCCTTCCTGGGACTAAGGGGTCCCCATCCCACACCAGGCGCCCCGCTCAGGGTTCCAGTGCCAGGAAGAGAATCCCCATCACTTCTGGCTGGAAAAACCAGCGGGAACTGAGGCTCAGGGAGGCTGACGCGGCTGGAGCCCCAGGCAGCTCCCTAAAGGGCCCACGCAGGGACTTATCGGACTCTCTCCCTCTAAGCTTGGAGGGGAGGCAGCTCGAGGGGCGCCAGAGACACACAGGGAAGAACTGAGCTGTTTGGCACTGGAGTGAGGGCTGGAGAGGGGGCTTTCTCCGGGACAGACGTGCTGTCAGAGGCCTTTGTTCCTTTGGTGAGCCTTCCCGGGGGCAGCAGACAGAAGCCATATCTGGGACTCCAGCAACCTGGCTCACACTGGTAGCCCCGCCCTGCTGACTCCCTGAGGCCCGGCCCCGCCCCGCCCCACACAACTTTCAAGCCCACCCAAGCTGTTGCCACTTGCTTAACCATAGGATTGGCCGGTCTTGGATGCTGCTTCAGGTTTTTCCTAAATTCTTTCAAACGAGCAGCATCGAGTCTCAGCGAGCCCCATACCTCTCCTTAAGGAATACACAGAAACAAACACAGGGAGGCAGCCAAAATGAGGAGACAAAGAAACAGGTCCCAAATGAAAGAACAGAACAAAACCCCCAATAAAAGAACTAAGTGAAATGGAGACAAGCAACCTAACAGATGCTGAGTTCAAAATACTGCTTATAAGGATGCTCAGTGAACTCAGTGAGAACCTCAGTGAACTTAGGG